AACATTTCTTGCAGTGCTGGTTCGGTGCTAATATATTACCTTAGCATTTTTGGTGGGGGCTGGGTAACTATTTATTTCTTCTTCTATTTTGAATGATAATCTTGATGGATATACTACTCTTGGATTCAGATCTTTATTTTTCATTACCTTGAATACTGTATGCCATTCCCTTCTGGCATGCAGTCTTTCTGTTGAGAAATCAGTAGAAAGCCTAATGGGGACTCCTTTGTAAGTAACTTGTGGCTTTACTCTTGCAGCTGTAAGATTCTCTCTTTGTCTTTAGTTTAACTATGATGTGTCTTGCTGTGGGCCTCTTTGGGTTCTTCTTCATGGGCTCTCTATGCTGCCTGAACTTATATGCCTTTTTTTCTTCACCAAGTTAGGGAAGTTTTTGCCACTGTTTCTTCCAATATATTCTTTAACCCTTTCTCATTTTCTTCTTCTTCTGGAATTTCTATGATGCAATATTTTTACATTTCATGTTGTCCCATAGCTGTCTTAAAGTATTTTTCATTTTCTTTTTGGTTCTCTGATTGGGTGTTTTCTGTGTGTTTTGTTTTTCTCATTTTTATTAATTTATTTTCCCCTCTAGACACCCTCCTTCCCATCTCATCCTTTCATTTTTTGTCTACGTTCATTAGTTATGTATACCTGCATATAACTTTTTTGGTTCATCTCATCTATCTCCCTCCACCCCCAACTCTGAAGTTTGTCCATCTGAACCATACTCTTTTCTGTATATCTCGGTATATTTTGTTCATCAGCCCACCTTGTTCATTATATTCTACAAATAAGTGAGATCATGTGGTATTTGTCTCTCTCTGATTGGCTTATTTTGCTTAGGATAAGACATCGTTTTTTCTTACAGCTGCATAGTATTCCATTCTGTATATATACCACAGTTTTTTTATCCACTCATCTATTAATGGACACTTGGGCTGTTTCCATTTCTAAACAATGTAAATATTGCTGCTATGAACATGGGGGTACATATACTTTTTCTGATTGGTGTTTCAGCCTTCTTATGATACATTCCTGGAACTAGGATTACTGTGTCAAATGGCAATTCAATTTTTAATTTTTTGAGGTAACACTGTATTGTTTTCCATAATGGCTGTACCAGTCTGCATTCCCACCAGCAGTGTACTAAAGTCCCCCTTTTTCCATGTCCTTGCCAGCACTTGTTGTTTGATGATTTGATAATGGTGATACCTCATAGTGGTTTTAGTTTGCATCTCTCTGATGATTAGTGACATTCAGCATTTCTTCATTTCTCTTGGCCATTTGCATGTCCTGTTTGGAGAGGTGTCTGTTTAACTCATCTGCCCATTTTTAAATTGAGTTTTTTGTCTTCCTTTTGTTGAGTTGTATTAGTACTCTATATGTTTTGAAAATTTACCCCTTATCTGATGTATCATTGGCAGTTATGCTCTCCCATACAGTGGGTTCCCTTTCCATTTTGATGGTTGTTTCTTTTGCTATGCAGAAGCTTTTTAGTTTGATGTAGTCTCATGTGTTCATTTTTTTCTTTTTTTCTGTTGCCTTGGGCCTTGAAAATTCTGCTGTGTATGATATCTGAAATTTTTTTCCTATGGGATTTTTATGGATTTACAAGTCAGATTTTAGTCCTTCATTTACTTTGACTTTATTATTGTGTAGAGTGTAAATTGATGCTCTAGTTTCTGTTTTTTGCATGTAGCTATCCAATTTTTCCAGCAGCATTTATTAAAGAGGCTGTATTTACTCTATTTTATGCTCTTGCCACCTTTGTTGAATATTAATTGAGCATAATGTTTTGGGTCAATTTCTGGGTTCTCTGTTCTATTTCATTAATCTATATGCCTGTTCCTGTGCCAGTGCCAGGCTATTTTGATTATAGTAGTTTTGTAGTATAACCTGGTACATTTTGGTATTGTGATCCCACCTATTTTGTTGTTTTGCAACATTGATTTCTATGGCTGTTTGGCATTTTTTTGTGGCGGGGTCCATATGAACCTTTGAAGTATTTATTCTAGTTCTGTGTAATATGTTGTTGGTATTTTGATGAGGGTTGCTTTGAATTAATAGATTGCTTTGGGTAGTATGGACATTTTAATGTTCTTAATACTTCCAATCCATGAACAAGGTATGTGCTTCTACTTTTTTATATCTTTCTCTATTTTTTTTTCAATGTTCTATAGTTTTCTGAAAATAGGTCCTTTATCTCTTTGGTTAAGTTTATTTCTAGATATCAAATTTTTTGCCACAACGGTAAATGGGATTTTTTTTTTTAGTTTCTCGTGAGTTTATTATTGGTGTATAAGAATGCCATCGATTTCTTGATGTTAATTTTGTATCCTGCCAAATTTGTTTATTAAATCTAGCAGATTTTTTTATTGGAGTCTTTATAGTTTTCTATGTATAATATCATGTCATCTGTGAGTAAGGACAGTTTCACTTTGTCCTTTACAATTTGGATCTTTTTATTTTTTCTTTATGTCTGTTTGCTGCGGCTAAGACTTCCAGTATGATGTTAAATAAGAGTGGCGAAAATAGGCATCCTTGTCTTGTTCTTGTTCTTAACGGAAATAGTCATGGTAAATAATTTATTTAATGTATTCCTGAATCTGATTGGTATTCAGGATTTTGGCATCTATGTTCATCAGGGTTATTGGCCTGTAGTATTTTTTCTTTGTCGTATCATTCTCAGATTTTGGAATTAGAGTTATGCTGGCCTCATATAATGAATTTGTCGGTCTTTGTTCTTGAATTTTTTAGAATAGTTCCAGGGAATATGTGTTAGTTCTTCTTTGAATGTTCGGTAAACTCCCCCATGAAACAATCTGGGCTAGGACTTTTGTTTGCCAGGAGAGTCTTGATTATATCTTTAATTTCCTTAGTTGTTATTGGTCTGTTCAAGTTTTCCATCTCTTTCTGGTTTAGTTTTGGGAGACTGTGTGTTTCTAGAAATTTGTCCATTTCACTTAGATGGTCAAATTTGTTGCTGTGTAATTGTTCATAGTATTTGTCAAAGATCCTTTGTATTTCTGTGGTGTCAGTTTTTACTTTTCCTTTTTTGTTTCTGATTTTTTCATTTTGGTTCTCTGATTGGGTGTTTTTTCAACTTTTTCTTCTAATTCACTGATCTGATTCTTAGCTTCCTCCAGTCTGTGGTTACTTCTTCCAATGTGTTCTTTATTTCTGCTGTGTCATTCTTCATTCCATTTGCTGTTTTTTCTTTTTCAGAAACAATGATTTTCGTTGTTTCTGTATCTTTACTCATGCTGTCAATCTTCCTCATAATCATTACTCTGAACTCTACATCTGATAATTTGCTTATCTTCATTTTATTTTATCCTCTTCTATAGAATTCTCTTGTCCTTTCTTTTGTGATTTGTTTCTTTGTTTCATCATTTTGTCTGTCTCAGCAGGGTTTGGAACTTGCCAGAATATCTCTGTGGTTACTGTGGTCCTCAGATTGTGGCTCCCTCTGCTGGGTTTGGATGAGTATGGAAGGAACCAAGCTGAACACCAGTGTCCGGTGTTACTTTCCTGGATAGAATAGCAGGCCAAGCAAAGATTTAATGATCCCAGATCCTTTGCCTTCAGTCTGAGTGTTAATCTCGGTCAATTAATGGGCTTCTGGATGTAGCCTTCAGCAGAATACAAAATCCCCCAGGTGGGCAGGGTAAGAGGATTTACAGTAGGTTCGGCAGTTGCTGCCCTCTGGGTTAATGCTACTTTGTCAGAAAAACTCTTCCTGAAGAGAACAGTTTTTGCACTGTGGTTTAATGACTCAGCACAGGGGTTCAGGCAGCCACCTTCACAGCTCTGACCCCAAATCCTGGAATCCCAGTGACCAATGACCATGAGCTAGGCCCAAGGCTCAAAGTACTCAGAGACTGATCTTTACCTGCTGGCTGGCTGGTATTCTTTTATATGATCTTCAAGTTGCAGTTCTGTCCTAGTCTCTGATTTCTCCTGGCTGGCGTTAAAATCCTGTGAGTGGGGCAGTTGCTTTGCTCCCTGACTATAGCTGAAAAATAGCCTATTTTCAAATCAACACAAAAGAAAATCCCCAACTTGGCTGATGCAGAAACAGGAGTCCATTTAACTCTTAACGTACTTCCAAAATATTCGCTAGTTAAGGTTTTAAAAAATGTTTTCAAGTACCAGAGGGGTATAAAGTGAAAGAAAATAAATTTCTGGCTGTATTCCAATCTCACTTTCTGCTTGTAGCTAGAATGAAGTTTGGTGGCTAGAATGATGCCGATGTAAACTAGAATTTAGTTTATGAACCTAAAATCTAGGTCTATGTAATGAAAACCAACACTCAGAAATGAGGTCATATTATAGATAACTGTTTTCTAGTTTGCTTTCTTTAACCACCGATATGTCTTTCTTTAGCCATATATTTAGACTACTTTTTAGTGTATTTAACCACCTATATTGATGGAGCTGTTATTGTTTTATTATTTGGGCTTTACCACTATAAGCAGTGTGCAGTGTTCAACCTTTGTCCCCCTGTGGAAGTATATCTGTGTATATTCCTGGAAGTAGAATGACTAGGTTAAAAGACATGTGCTGTTTGAATACATATAAACATTGACAGATTTCCCTCCTAAGTGACTGAGCCTACTAATTTCCCCACTCCGTTGTCAGCACAAGTATGATCAGAGTTTTAATCTTACAATCATATTGGGATAATAGGATCTCTCTGTTGTAGTATTAATTTGCATTTTGTTTTATTTGACATTAAAATTGTTTTGATACACTCTGTTTATGCCCTGTTAAAATATTTCTTACTGATTTGTAGGAGCTTTTGATATGAAAATTAGTGCTTGCTGTTTATTGCTTCTAGATTTTTGTGTCATGCTTGGGAAGGATTTCCCTCAGAAGTTACTCTTAAATAAGATACATGATGTAAAACCCAGGATTTATAAACAGTGACTGAGTAATGGTTGAATGAAAGAAAGTTGTGAGATGAAAGTATATACTTTTTTTTTTTTTTTTTTTTTTAGGTTTTCTCGTGGAATTTTTAAAAGAGATGGCAGAATATCATCAGGCTAAAGAGACTTGTGACATGAACACTCAGACAAATCCAACATTTCCTAGCAAAGACTCTCTTGGTAATTTCAGGCATCTTTCATAACTTCAGATTTTCTGTTTTCTTTTTGAATGAAGGAAATCGCCTGCTTTTCTGAGTTGTGTGTGTTCCTAGACTGAAAGAGATGTAAGCTGCAGGCAGGGTGCCCATTCCCTTTGATGTCATTGCTGGAAGAGACCAAGCCCTCCTCTCCAGTGCTGCCCCTCCCTTCAGGACCACCAGGGTGGCACTTTGTAAAATTCATGGGGATGCAGAGGCTCACATTCTTGTTTGTTGAGTCAACCTTCTCAACCAGAAGGCTCTTCCCTGGTTTCATCGAATTATTTTATAGCCACTAACATGAGAAGATCCTAGGCTATTTTAATTGCAGAGAACTAGAGAAATTGGTAGCCTATCACTTCATTTTATAGTTGAGGAAACTGAGGTCGCCAGAGGAAGGAAAAGCAACTTGGGAACAGCCAGTGTGGGTCAGAACTGATACTAGAGTCCAAGTTTTCTGGTCCATGATCCAGAGCCTTTTCCACATGTACAGCCTTTCTACAATAGCATCCTGCCCTTTCATTGTATGTTCAGCTAAACATTGTATGTTTAGCTGGCCAAAATGCTATGATTAATCCTGGTTCTTCCTTACTGTTAAGGAGCAATAGTGCCTTTCAACTTGAGACAGTAAGTTCAAATACCTTAATCTACTTCTGCTAGCTTTTTACTCCCGTGCATACTTTTTGGTGGGCACTGTTGTTTACATGACTGATTGTACTCTTCATCTGGGTTTGCATCCTGCTGCCTGATTGATTCTGATCCACGTTTGGTTTAAAGGCTGCAAGGCTGCTGGAGAGAGACAATCAGTACACCTGGCTTTAGTCCCAGTTATGCCATTGTGTAGTTGGTTAGACCTCTGAGAGTCAATGAGCATCTGTGCCCTCTGTAAAACTCATGATGTTTGATTCACTTTAGGGCAATGTTTGGGCCGTGTGACTCAACTTTCACCAAAGACCAATAAAAGAACTCTCTGCTTGGCACTTAGAGAATAGAAAGAATGCTAGTGTTTTTGTTTTAACATGTCAGTGAGATAACCAGAGATGCACAGCTGAATTGTAAAGGAGCACTTTATTACAACGGTGGGCTGTGGGGATACAGTTTCCCCAGATAACCATCCCTGATTATTTTTGCTCATTGGATTTTAAAGAGTCTGTTGGCCTCTCCCTCAGGGGATCAGTACAACAATGGGTGTGACATCGATTACAGAAGTCAAAATTAGAATTATTCACTGGGTTCACTTGACGTAGCTCATGTGAATGCAAATACCTCCCAGCACGTAGGGCAACTATAAATTCAGGCAAAATTTCTTTACTTCTAGGGGTAATTAACCTATTATTGGAAAAATAGCAAGGAAGGTCCATTGATGATAAAAAAATGGAGTCATTTAATTGCCTTAGTCAAGGGGTCTACATAAAAATGGAACCTAGTCATGTTAAGCCTCGGGGCCCAGGTCATTTTCAACTTAAACTTTGCTTTCTTTTTTCTTGACATTTTATGATAGTTTTCAAACATTCAAAAAGTTTAAAGTTTTACAATTTGCCATTAAATTTGTACTATACTTGCTTGATCACTTTCTGCCCATCCATAATCTACCTTAATTTTTAAAATTATTTCTAGTTAAACTCCAGACATCTCTGCACCTGACCACATTTCTCTACCCTAATTTTCTCTGAGTGTGTGTGTGTGTTTTTTTAATAGCTGAGAAGTTTCAGGATATTGATGATCAGTTTGCACGTGCTTACCCTCAGTGTCCAAAGTTAGAATCTTTAGAAATGAAGTTAAATGAAAAGAGAGAAATAGAACAGCAACTTCAGGCAGAGATGCATGAAAGGGTAAGTTTATCTTGTTGCTATTAACCAAATGATATTTTTGTTTGTGTTTTCATCTTAATCTTAGGTATATAGGAAAATATCTAAAATTTATATTAATGAATGTTTATACTATTGTGCATATTATTATTTTGTCAGTTGATGTTATTTCTTTTTACCATTTGAGTGAATCTCTACAGGTTCAGTGAATGAGATGAAACTAAAGAATTATATTAAATATATTTAGAGCATGAATGGTAAACCTAACTGTGGAGAATTTGTTACTACTCTTTTTAGTATTGTTATTGCGATTTACAATTAGCAGTTAAAGCATTTAAGAAATACTAAAATAATAAAAATTAAAATGGAAGATAAAAGAAAGTCTGAGAAGGTATTAGTGAAGTTCTGGAATGATGTTGAAAGAACTTGTCAAGCAAAATCAGAAGCCTCCTTTCTCAGGAAAAAGATAATCCCTTGAGAGAATTCAAAAGTACCAGGAGGTAATATTTTAAAATCATTTACTGGGTGGCTCTTTCCTGCAGCTATTAGAGTTTACTTCCTTCCTCAGAGACTGTTGGGAGGAAAGGGGATATGAATGTCCATGTCATGAATGTGAGGAACTTTCCCTGAATTAGTGGCAGGCGTGAGGATTAGGTGGCCACCTTGAGGAGAGGGCCAGAGCTATGGGATGACTGCTGGGGGTCAAGGAAGAATAGCAGTTCTCTGAAGCAGGCAGGACTACGTGAGCTGTTTTGGGGGCTCTGCTGAGGTGGGCAACCTGGAATTGAAGTAAAGCAAACCGATTGCTTGTAGGTGACTATTGTTGTAGCTCTTGGGAGGACTTGGAAGGTCAGTGAAGGCAGAAGGATAGTGGTGATTGGGGAGTGGAGCTTTATAGAGCTGAATTTACTTCATTTGAGAAAGCAGCCTATTGAAGACATAGGGGTTTGGCTTGATGGTGAAGGGAACCAGAGCAGAAGGTGGGTGGCTACTAACTTAGGGTACAAGGGAGAGCTACGTGGCAGTCTCAGACATCAAAGAATAGGTGTGGGGATATTGACAAGTGGAAGAATAAGAGTGGACCAAGAGAACACAGTTACCAGTTGAGGTTCCTGGTGACGTTGGAAAGCAAATGCAGTGTGCTTCCATCGAGCCAATTAAAGGTCCCTGGAGTAGAGGAATCCAGGGCTGCAAGCATCATCCATGTGGCCATTTGATCTTATCACCTGGGAAGTGACTGGGCAGGAAGTTGGAGAAGTTGAATGGTGGGATATGCATGTCAGCAGGGGGCATTGGATCCAGTCCTTTAGGAAGATCAGGTTCCTTTCCCAAGGGTATGTCAGATCAGATTATTTGGGGCACGGTTTTCTGTGTACAGCCAGAACAGCTGATAGCAGGAGATGGTGGAAGTAAGAGACTTCCTTCCGCCATCAACCCTTGCCTGGAGCTTCTCAGTAAGACCCAGTTGCAGCCCCTTTATGATTTTGTGTATAATTTGTGGGGCTTGGACTCATTTTAGCTACAGTAAATGTTAGAAGTGTTGTTCCGTGTCAGCGAGATAAACAGAGACTCACACTCGAATTGTAAAAGTACTTCATTACACTGGCAGGCTGGGGGAGGGAAGATACAGCTTTCCCAGATCCTCAGCCCCAATTCTTCTTGCTGGTCCACTTTTAAAGACAGAAGCCTCATCCCCCTTTTGACAACCCCTCCCCTCCCCAATAGTGGTGTGACAGTGATTACAGAAGTCAAATTTAGCATTAATCATTGGGCAAATACCTCTCAACACGTGTGGCAACTATAACTTTAGGGAAAATTTCTTTGCTTCTAGGGATATTTAGCCTATTATTGGAAAAATATTGAGGAAAGTCCACTGATGATAAAAATTGAGTTATTTAGTCGCCTTAGCCAAGGGACTCAGGTGAGAAGCACTGATCTTTGAGATGATTGGTGTTCAGACTAACACTTGCATCTTCAAGATAGGTGACTTGACTAGGTAAGATTGTTATAATGTGTCAGCGAAATAACCAGAGATGCACAGCCAAACTGTAAAGGAGCGCTTTATTCTCACCAGCAGGATGCAGGGGGCATAGTCTTCCCTCAGATCAGCAGCCCCGATTCTTCTCACTTGTCCAGTTTTAAAGACAGAAGCCCCATTCTCCTTCCCACCACCACACCTCCCTCCGAGGACTGGTACAATAGGTCCAGTAGTGGGCATGACAGTGATTACAGAAGTCAAAATTAGCATTACTTACCAGGCTCATGAGTACCTTCAAATGTCTGCAATTACTGGTACTTAGTAACTGCAAATGCCTGCAGATATCGATACTGGAAACTGCAAATGCCTCCTAACTCATGGGGCAACTATAATCTTAGGCAAAATTCCTTTACTTCTAGGGGTAATTAACCTATTATTGGAAAAATATTGAGGAAGGGCCATTGATGATAAAAATGAGTTGTTTAGTCACCTTAGCCAAGAGGCCTACACAAGAATGGAATCTAGTTGCCTTAGCCTTGGGGCCCAGGTCACTGTGACTCAGACAACTATCCAACCATGGGGATTCTATTTAAGTTGTATTACTTGAATGTACATTTTTGTCTTCTTTTCTTCCTGAAAAACATACCAAAATTTTAAATAAGTGTCTGAGAGGTGTTACTTAAGTAGAATACCCAGGGAATGTTAGGAATATAAGGTAATGTAGCTTAACAGTCATTGGGGGAAGGAGTAAATTTTTATGTAACTAGAATAGGAAAAGGCATACCCACAAGGTGTGGAGTCTTTTGAAAGTGAAATCGTTACTCTAAATGACCATACTTTGATTGTTTTCTGAAATTTAGAAAGTAGTCTGTTAGTTCAAATCTGTTTCATTTAGCTTTTTCACCAAAAATGAATGCTTTTCTGTACAGAGGGAAATAAGAGGAATTTATGCTCAGAGGCAGCTTCTACTAAAAGATATAAGAGGCAGAGAAGCAGAGCTGAAGCAAAGAATTGAAGCTTTTGAATTGTAAGTATAGTAACTTTTGTTTTGGATATTCAGTCTCTGAGATTAAAAAGAACTAAATAATTCCGTATTTTTATGTTAATTGTGAAGTAGTTCTTGGTTGTAAAGGTGCCATCACCTACTTTTAAAAGGCACAAGTTAAGGGAAAGAAACAGTAGGATTTCGCTTTTGAAAGGTTAGACATTGGGATGCAAAGCAGAATGAGACACCATCATCAGGCTGCAGTGAAACCAGACAGGTAATCCGAACAGATTCTGTTGCACACTTTCATTCAGTCATTGAGACCTGGTGGTCACATGTACATATAATGACTGAATTTCAGGTACATTCACCTACTCTCCTGTCAAGGGAAATCAGTGGCTTGACTTGTACTGGGTGAAACTGTCTTGTGATGTGTGTATACTTTCTCTAAGTGCTAACCAGTGTTTCATTCTTCACATCTACCTGAGATTAATAGCAAGCTCACTAGTATAGTTCTATGGAGTAGGTTCTACTATTATTTAACACTCACAGATACTCTTATTTCATTAAAGGATTTATCTCCATCTTCATTTATACTCTCATTATTATAGGATTGATTCATTTGATATCTCCTCTGCCTACTTTACTCTTTTTTTTTTGGCAGTACTGAAGTGGTAAATTGAGCATGGGAGAGAAAAGGAAAGTGACAAAATTTGGAAAATAGCTCATGATGACCTCATCACTTTACCTTCACTTCCCCTAACTGGTTCCAGTCTTCCTAGCCTACTGCATAGCTAATGTCCCTAGTTTACTGTGCCTTTGTTTTACTGATTAGCTAGCAGAGGGAGCTAACACATAGAGCTTTTGTCCTTTGCTTAGAATGCTCAGTGTTCCCTAGCACTTTTCATGGCTTGATCTAAGTACCCCTGAACCTGATTCCCTTACTTTGGGATTGATTTGTGGTTGATTTAAGGTCTCACTTGAAGACCATTCCAGTCTTCAGTATTTGAAAGTTCTGACTGATTCAATTATCTGTTGCTCTCTCTTGCAATACTCTTCAGTATTCAATGACTAGATTAATAAATGCCAAAACAGATCTTCTATCTTTAATACATATTGGCTAATCAATTAAATATCACAGAAACAGTCTTATAGAAGATGCAAGCACTAAAGTACACTAATTTAAATTTGGTTTGTAGCTTTGTAACTTAATAACATTGTTTTTCTTGTCTGAATTGGTGATGGCCATTTATCACTTGTAATCACTTTTTAATTGTGAATCATCTGTGAAAAAGCACTTTAGTCTCGACACTTTCACATCCCTCCAGCCTGTTGCCACCGTATAGCTCCTCCTTCTGCTACTTCAGATTCCTCAAAACTCAGTCCTTTCATAAAATACATGGAGGACTTCTGGCTCTTTCTGTTTATTTCCCAGCAGTGACAGTCATATAACAGTTTTAGTCTGTGGAGCAAAAATCACGTTATTTTTTTTCTCCTGAAGTGTTTACGTCAGATATTATAGTTTTTATTTGCTTTTTATATTTTTGCTAATTTCAGGGCCCAGAGGTTACAAGAAGAAAAAGATAAAAGCCTGGCTGATGCACTTAGGATACGGGAGTTGAATATAAAGAGCCTGGAGGAGACCTATGACCAGAAGCTCAAGAATGAAATTCTAAAGTAATTGTTTGGTGGCTTTAAAGGAGTAATACATTTGAATTAGGTTTATAGAAACATGACAACACTAATGAAGTAGATAAAACCAGCATTTTACGGTGAAAGTTTTTAAAAACATGTTTTCACTGTCAGTCAAACCTTTCCTAAGATATATGAGTTAATATAGATTTAAAAAGATACAGTACAGAGTCTAGCACCCTCAGCTTGTTCTTACTCATAGCTTCTGTAACATGTATTGAGCACATATGATTTGCTTTCCTTTTTAGGGCACCTTGTAGCTTGCTCAGCTTACAATGCTGATGAGCTGTGAAAGTGGAATTATAATCACTTTTTAAAAAAATTGATTTTGGAGAGAGAGGAAGGGGGAGAGAGGGATAAACATCAATGTGAGAGATAAACATTGATCAGTTGCCTCCCGAATGTGCCCCGAGCAGGGCGATTGAACCTGCAATCTAGGTGTGTACCCTGAGCAGAAATTGAACCCTTAACCTTCTGATGCATGGGACTATGCTCCAGCCAATTGAGCCACACCAGCCAGGGCTGGAGTTATAATCACTTTTATAAATTATCCTACCTAATTGTTATAGTATTTATCAGTGAGCATGTGTGCATGTGTCTTGAATTTCTTCAAGATTCTGCAAAACCAGAATCAAACAAACTGAAATGAACTATATGAAGCCAAAAATTATACAGGCAAAGGAAAATATGGATAACTGTGATTACTATGGCTTTTCTATAGCCTGAGTTTTACTGTGTTATAGTGACTAATATCTTAGTGCAAAGACATTAAGTCCATATGGTAATATTTCTTTCTAGTGCTCAGGATAGTAATAAGTGATTCATTGAGTAAATGAATTGGTGAAGAGATGACTCAACTGAGCTGCTCTGGTATTTATTAACCATTGGCCTCTTTTTACTGCCTTGCCCACAATTTGCCACTGATATTCCATAACTTGGTACTTGTGAAGGTTTTTTGAGCTTATTTAAAAGAATTCTAATAAAAAAGAAATACAATACCTTTCCATGTATCAATTTTGAAATGGATGTTATCTCTACACATTTTTATGTCAGCTCCTCGAAAATAGTAGCAAATACTGACATCTGACATTGTTAAACTTTTAGGAATAGATGAATGAGTGTGTATGTTAACTTTCATCTCCACAGCAATTGTGAAGTGTTTGATATTATCTGTCTGCTTTGGATATCCTCTATGACTTTGGCAAGTGTTGGAGTTTGGAGGACATTCACCACAGGAGTGTTTCTCTTTTCTTTCTCTCATCTCTAAACAAAAAAGTCTGCAAGTAACAGTTGGGGGAGATAAATAACACTACTCGAAAGTGTGCCTTTTGGTTTTGCTAACCTGAATATAAAGTGTTGGTAGTTGGCTGTCAATACTATGCCCAACCCCTGAGACAAAAGTTCTTCTGCTGAAGGCGGGGGGTGGGGGGAAAGGTAGAGCAGACATAATTTAGTTTTTCTTTTGGGATGTAGAGTCAGTTGTATACGGTGTAAATTTAACTTACTTTTTTATGTCAGTCCAGACCAATGTGAAATAATTGTTCTTAGTAACCTCACAATAACACAAGTTTTAGGGACCCACTTTAAAGCATTGCCACAGGCTTTTATTGTACCTTGTATATTCTGAATTTGGATCTCTGGCCTTAGTACTGAGAGAACTTGAAGTTATGCATGCCATATCCAGTGCCCTTGGAGCCCGGATGCCACAGGTAAGCCCACACATTGATAAGATTCAGACATTGAAAGTGACACACTCATTTTAGACATTCTTATTCTCAGGTATCAACTTGAGCTGAAGGATGACTACATTGCCAAAACTAACAGACTGGTTGAAGAGGAAAGGAAGATTAAAGGTAATTCTTGGGGAGGGAAAGCTGTGTTTTTTATTTCTAATTACAAGTTATTAGCTTCCTAAATTAGGCCTGTTGTAAATTTAATATATACTTCTATAATTATCTCTCTATATAGCTAATACTTAATTATTACTACAAAACTACACATATTTTGTCTTTTTAATTTTACAGAGTTTGAAGAATAATCATTATGTTTTACTGTGTTTTGTAAATCTTCCTAATTAACATTTGGTATATTCACAAAGGTCAGTGATTTACTGGGAGGATTTTATCCAATTCTATCTGTCTATTTCAAACAAAAAAATTAATATGTCAAAAGTAACCCTTGAGAGGAAGATGGTAGTGGGCAGACCGGAGGGAGGTTGAATGTGTGAGAGAGTGAGCTAGAGTGTGAGTGGATGTGAGGGTGGATGACCAAACTCTTGCAGTGCAGAGATGTGGACCAGAAAGTTCCTGTGCTGTGGATGGGAGCAGCCAGCCACTGCAGTAAGCTGCTGTTCGGGGAGCTTCTCCCTGTGTCATGAGGAGGTCTCACCATTTTGGAAGATCCTGGGTCTTCCCTGGGAGTAGGCAGTGGGAGTGGATAGGGCCCAGCAACCTGAGCCCACCAGTGCACCTGACACCATCAGACCAGTGGACACTGTGTCAACACAGACCAGTGTACAGTATAGTGGAGCTTCCAATGTCCCGGACATGAAAGCCATAGACAGCCGGGAGCCCAGCACCATCCCCCATAGTAGCAGCCCAATCAGAGTTGAGATATATTCCCAGTGACAGAGGCTGGGGAGCATACATCCATTCCCAGGCACCAAAAACACAGACCAGCAGCTGAGACTCATCCCCAAAAACTATAGCAAAAGCTGACCAGGAGTTGAACCCCACAGAGCAGCAGCACTCTTCAGCCATAATTGACAGGACCTGGGGCTCAACAGAGGCCTGTGAGATCCAGCAGCTCACAAGAGCAGTGGGAAGCTGGAGCCCAAGAGGGGCTGGTGCAATCCAGCTTCCCGCTGGTGAGACCTGCAGGGTTCAGAGGCACCAGACAGGCCTGTGCGACGTAGCAGCAACTGTTTGATCCAGTGACCCACAGGACCTGAAGATTGCTGAAGTACCAGAGAGGCCTGTGTGACCAAGCAGGGACTGTGTGATCTAGTTACCATGGGACCTGCAGGATGCTGAAACAACAGAAAGCCTGTGCCACCCAGCAGCCCATAACATAGACACAGAGCCGGTTCACAGAGAGACTGGGTGATCCAGTTACCCACAGGACCTTCAGGGTGGGGGGCCACCAGAGAGGACTGCGCGACCCAGCTGTGCAAGAGATAGGCGTAGAGGATGTGAAAATGGAGGGGGAGAGACTGGAAACTACACAGACTACTTCCCAGGACCACATGAGAATTAAAACTAAAATAAGGACAAATACTCAGAAAAAAGCAACAGTAAGGTAGCAGGACAGGACCATATAACCAGGGATACTGGTAGGATCTGCGGAGGTGTGAGGGGGTGGCGGGTTGGAAGCCCATGAACAGTAGCAGTCTTAGCTGTGAGCAGCACCCTTGGGGAATAAAGACCAAGCCCACTCCACAAAGCGCTAAAATAGTCATAGCCACTCACCTGGGGGCTACAGGAGATGGAGGGCAGAGTGGGCTGGAACTCTGTGGGGACACCTGGGATGTGGAAGGGACTCAGAGTTTTCGCTGAGTTGCAACTACAAAGGATGGTGGCTAGTGTGCTCCTTCCAGAGTTGTGAGGAAAAGCAGCATCCCCCTCCTCGGAGATTCAGCCAGGTGAGGCAAGGAAATGAAAATTGAGGCTCATTAATAATCAGCATCAATCCCACCCTCTGGAAATCTTCTTATGCTGAACACCAGAGCTACATTCCAAGACACTAAGTAAATGAAAATACTAGCCACCAGGAAAAAGAAGAGGATAATTAAACCTTTCCTGGGCTTGCAAATCTACCCAGGAAAGTAAGAATTGACAGTGGTGTTTAACATGGGCCCATCAATGCTCATCCAAACCCAGCAGAGGGAGCCACAAACAGCAGAACACCAAAACCCACAGGGAAAATTTGGAAAGCTCCAAAATCCACTGAGAAAGCCAAAATGATGAAACAACAACAACAAAATCCCAAATAAAAGAATAAGAGAACTCTATTGAAGATAAGATCAATGAACTGCAGCAAGGCATATAAGCAGAGGTAGAGTTCAGACCCATGATTTTGAGGAAGCTCCACATCATGAGTAAGGATATCGGCACCAAAAGTAAAGATAAAACAAACAAACAAACAAACAAAAAAACCTGAAAACCAACCAAGTGGAAATGAAGACTGACATAGCAGAAATTAAGAACACATTGAAAGGACCAACCAGCAGAGTAGAGGAAGCTGAGGGCTGGATCAGTGAATTAGAAGACAGGGTAGAAAAAAATCAATTGGAAAACTAAAAGGAAAAAACAATTAGAAAACAGGAAGACAGCTAAAGAGAACTGTGGGACAATTGGAAACATAGTAACATTCACATCATAGGAGTCCCTAAAGAGGAAGAAAAAGGGTTAGAGAATATATTAAAGAAATAGTGACAGAAAATATTTCTAATGATGAAGGAAGAAGGCATTCATGTTCAAGACACACAGAGAGCCCCATGTAAAAAGAACACAAGCAGGTCCACACCAAGACACACAGTAATTAAAATGCCAAAAATTAAAGACAAAGCATTCTAAAGGCAACAAGAGATAAGCAATAGGTTACCTACAAAGGAAACCCCACAGGACTTTGAGCTACTTCTCAATAGAAATACTACAGGCTGGAAGGGAGTGTCATGAAGTAATCAAGGACATGAAAAGCAAGGATCTGAATCCAAGACAACTCTATCCAGCAAGGCTATCATTCAAAATAGGTCAAATAAAAAGCTTCCCAGACCAAAATATAATATAATAAAATAAAATAAAATAAAATAAAATAAAATAAAATAAAAGGCTAAGGGAATATATTAACACAAAACCAGCATGGCTAGATATGTAATTAGTAGAAGAAATAGGGAGAAAAATAGAACCACACTAAAATAAAATGGCAATAATTAGTATATATCAATTATTACCTTAAATGTGAATGGTTTCAATGCTCCACTAAAAAGACACAGAGTAGCTGACTGGATAAGAAAGCATTACTCACATATACATTGTTTACAAAAAAACCCACCTCACAACAAAAGCCTCACATCGGTTGAAAGTGAAGAAATGGAAAAGAATCGTTAAAGCAAATGGATAGGGAAAAAAAGCTAAGGTAACAGTCCTCATATCTGATAAAGTAGATTTCAAAATGAAGGCCATCACTAGACACAAAGAAGGCCACTACATAATACTGAAAGGATCTTTTCAACAGGAAGATATTACCTTCGTAAACATATATGCACCCAACATAGGAGCACCAACATATATTAAAATTTTCTGGAGGACTTCAAAGGAGAAATCAACAGCAATGCAATCATAGCAGGGGACTTCAATACTCCCCTGACATCACTGGATAGATCTTCCAGACAAAAAATTAAGAAGGAAGCAGTCTCTAAATGCAGTGCTTGATCAAATGAATTTAATAGATAGCTATAGAGAATTATACCCCAAACTGCAGAATTCACATTCTTCTCAAGTGCACATGGTACATTCTCAAATATAGACCGCATGTTAGGGCACAGTCTAAGTCTCTACAAGTTCAAGAAGATTGAAATCATATCATGCATCTTCTCAGATCACAATGGAATGAAATTAGAAATCAGTTGCAACAAGACTGTGAAGGACATTTGAAAACATGGAGACTAAATAGCATGTTATTAAACGATGAATGGGTTACCATGGAGATCAAGGAAGAAATTATAAACTTCCAGGAAACCAATGAAAATGAACACACAACAACACAAAATTGGTGGGATGCAGTAAAAGCATTTCTGTGAGGGAATTTTGTAGCAGTACAAGCCTACTTCAAGAAACAAAAAATTTGTAACAGACTATCTACTCTCACAACTTAAAGAAATAGAAAGCAAACAAAGAAAACCCCAGAGTAAGTAGAAGGAAGGAAATAGTAAAGATCAGAGCACAAATAAATGACATGGTGACCAAAAAAACAATTCAAAGGATCAATGAAACAAAGAGTTGTTTCTTTGAAAAGATAAACAAAATTGATGGACCCTTAGCTAGACACATCAAGAAACAGAGAGAACCCAAACACACAAAATCAGAAATGAAAGAGGAGAAATAATAACTGACACCACAGACATAAGCAGGGTCATTAACAAATATTATGAATTATTCCTAATAAATTCAACAATCTAAGTGAAATGGACAAATTTCTAGAAACACAGTCTCCCAAAACTGAACCGGGAAGAGAGAGAAAACTTGAACAGACCAGTAACAAAAAAAAAAAAAAATAGAAGATGTAATCAAGACTCTCTCAGCAAAAACAAACAAACAAAAAAACCAATCTCAGGCTCTCATGACCTCATGGGGGAATATTATCGAACATTCAAAGAAGAACTAATACCCATTCTCCTCAAACTATTTCAAAAAATTCAAGAAGAAGGAAGACTTTCAAACTCGTTTTATGAGGCCAGCATAATTTTAATTCCTTAACCAGAAAAAGACACTACAAAAAAAGAAAACCACGGGCCAGTATACCTGATGATCATAGATGCCAAAATCCTGAACAAAATACTAGCAAATTGAATACAGCAATACATCAAAAAATTATTCACTATAACCAAGTGGGATTCATTCCAGGAATGGAAGGCTTGTACAATATTCTCAAATCAATAAATGTGACACACCACATAAAGATAATGAAAGATAAAAATCATATGATCATATCAATAGACACGGAAAAAACATTAGACAAAATCCAGCACCCATTCTGGCAAAAACACTCAGCATTCTGGGAATAGAGGGATCATATCTTGACATAATAAAAGCCATATGTGAATGGCTTACAGCCAACATCATACTCAATGGGCAAAAACTGAAAGCATTTTTCTTAAGAATAGGAACAAAACAAGTATGCCCACTTTCATCACTCTTATTTAACATAGTACTGGAAGTCTTAGCCACAGCAGTCAGACAGGAAGAAAAAAAGATCCAAATTGGAAAAGAGGAAGTGAAACTATCACTATTCACAAATGCCATGATACTATATGTAAAACACCCCAAAGACTCCATCAAAAATTTACTAAATGAATTGTGCAAAGTAGCAGGATACAAAATTAATGTCAAGAAATCGATGGCATTCTTATACCCAATGATGAATTCACAGAAAGAGAAACTAAGAAAACAATCCCATTTACCATGCAGCAAAAAAATTAAGATACCTAGGAATAAACTTAACCAAAGAAATAAAGGACCTAGTCACAGTAAACTGCAGGTCATTGAAAAAAGTAGAGGAAGTTGTAAAAAACTGGAAGCACATACCTTGTTCATGCATTGGAAGAATTAACATCATTAAAATGTTCATACTACCCAAAGTAATCTATAGATTCAATGCAGTTCCCTTCAAAATACCTATGACATACTTCACAGATCTAGAACAAATACTTCAAACGTTCATATGAAACCAAAAAAGACCATGAATAGCCACAGCAGTCTTGAAAAAGAACAAAGTTGAAGGGATCACATTACCAGATTTCAGGTTATACTACAAAGCCATTGTAATCAAAACAACCTGGTACTGGCACAAGAACAGGCAGATTGATCAATGGAACAGAATAGAGAACCCAGAAATAGACCCAAGGCAATATGCTCAATCAATATTTGAGAAAGGGGCAAGAGCATACAGTGGAGTAAAGACAGCCTCTTTAATAAATGGTTTTGGGAAAATTGGACAACTACATGCAAAAAAGAAAAAAGAAACTAGACCATTAATTTACATCATACACAAGAATAAACTGAAAATGGAGAAAAGACTTAAATGTAATTCATGAATCCATAAAAATCCTGGAAGGAAATGTAGGAACAATATTTCAGACATCATACGCAGCAGAATTTTTATTCATACATCACATAAGGCAAGAGAAACAAAGGAAAATATGAACACATGGGACTACATCAAACTCAAACGCTTCTGCATACCAAAAGAAACTACCACCAAAATGGAAAGGCAACCTACTGTATGGGAGAGCATAATTGCCAATGGTACATCAGATAAGGGGTTAATTTCCAATATATAGAGAGTGCTCATACAGCTCAACAAAAGGACAACAAAGAAACCAGTTAAAAGTAGGTTGAGGTACTAAATAGACACCTTTCTTCCAAACAGGACATACAAAAGCTAAGAGACATGAAGAAATGCCCAACATAACTAGTCATCAGAGAGATGCAAATTAAAACAATAATGAGGTGTCACCTTACACCTGTCAGAATGGCCACCATCAATGTATAATCAAACAAGTGTTGTTGATACAGTGGAGAAAAAGGGACTCTAGTACACTGCTGGTGGGAATGCAGACTGGTGCAGCCACTGTGGAAAACACTATGGTGTTACCTCAAAAAAATAAAAAATTGAATTGCCATTTGACCCAGTGTTTCCACTTCTAGGAATATACCCTGAGAAGCCTGAAACACCAATCAGAAAGACTATGTCTGAGTAGCACTATTCATAATAGCTAAGGTCTGGAAATAACCCAATTGTCCATCAGTAGACAAATGGATAAAAAAGCCATGGTACATATACCCAATGGAGTACTATGCAGCTGTAATAAAGAATGATCCCTCATCCTTTGAAAAGACATGGAGGGACCTGGAGAGTATTATCCTAAGTGAAGCAAGTCAAGCAGAGAAAGATAAGTATCACGTGGTTTCACTTATTTGTGGAATATAATGAACATAACAGTCTGAGGAAAGAGGTAGTCCCAAAGACGTGGAAGTGGGGTACAGACTGACATTCCTCAGAAAAGGAGGTGGTGGGGGTGAGATAAACCACAGAACTTATTTGCATGTATGAATGAACAGTGGACATGGACAACAAAGGTATGGACAGGGCCCAATGGGAGGGGGAGGGAGGAATCAGTGAGGGAAAAGAAGAAATATCTGTAACAAAAATAAATTAATTAATAACAAAATAATTTTTAAAAAAGCAATTACAGTTTCAAAAAAAAAATAGAGTCTTCCCCTGTAGAAAGGCTTGGAAAATACATGGTTCAGAGTTTTTGATATGAACCAACCATTGTGTTCCTACTGGGAGTTCACCAGTGCCTGAGGGTCATAAACAGTTACTATTGAAAAGATACATACTAATTGACTTCAAAATAAATAAAAATTCAACGGTGATAAAAAGTAAATAAATAAATAACCCTTGACCTGACAGGAAGTAGAGTATTTAGAATTTTTTCCTGCCTATGACCACCTTCACCTTGTTATCTATGTTTATGAGTCTGGTTTTGTTTATTGAATTTTTTTTTAATTCCACATATGAGTTAAATCATGCATTTGTCTTTCTCTGTCTGATTTAATTCACTTACCGTAATGCTCTCTAAGTTCATCCATGTTGTCTGAAATGGCAAGATTTCCTTCTTTTTATGGCTGAGTAATATTTTATTGTGTACATATGCTATATTTTCTTTATTCATTCATCTTTTGATGGACATCTAGGTCACTTTCAAATCTTGGCTGTTACTGGGGGTGCAAATGTATGTCTTTTTAATACAGTGGGTTTTTTGTTGGAGGGGGGGGCTTTTGGTTATATGCCAAGCAATGGAATTGCTGAATAATACGGCCACTTTTAAAATTTTTTTTGAGGACTCTTGATACTGTTTTTCATAGCATTGCACTAGTCTGCATTTCCATCAACAGTGTATGAGGATTCCATTTTCTCCACATCCTTGCCAGCATTTTGTTGTCTGTTGATTTATTGGTGATAGCCATCCTGATAGGTATGAAGTATGATATCTCATGCTGGTTTTAAGCATGAAAGACTTTATATTTATGCTTATGGGAAATTTTATTTTAACTTTTCTTCCTGTGACCTGGTTCCTTATTTCTTTTACTTCTAATATATTTTTATGCTTCATAATTTTTTCAGTTGACATAAAACTGTTATATATAGTAGCACAGTACTAGGAAAATTGGATAATTATTCTCCAGTATTTTACATTTCAGTACATTTCTTGGAACTTCTTGCCTGTGACAAGAAGTTGAATTTTAGAGGAAATTTCCAAGGAATTCTTGGAGTAAACCAGGTCTGGATACTTGATATTGACCTGTAAGGTCGCCCATGGTGTGACTGCTCCTTTGTGACTATCTTGTGAAGACTAATATTTCTTTAGGGATTAGTATGTAGTAAGCAAATTAGTTTTTGATATCTGTATAGACTTGTATTAGATGAAGTGAAAATGACAAAATAGTGACTATAAAATCAGGAGACAAATCTTTGTGTTTAAGGAAATTCAGATCTGTTGGCATGAGAGCTCTTGAATATGATGTGACTGGTTGGTGTCTGTAGCGAAGGAAGTTCACCACATATGTGACCATTTTGACTAACTTCTTATCACCTTTTAGGTAACAGGGCTTAGTTCTTACTTGCCCTGCTGATTTTTGACTCTGACATCTGCTATTTTAGATTATGAAATAATAGTTATTAGGTTTGACATGTTGCCCCTAAATTTTTTTTTCTCTTCTAATTTTTTTATTTTATTTTTTTACCCTTACCCAAGGACATTTTTGCATTTATCTTCAGATAGAACAGGAGGGAAAAAGGGAGGAAGAGAGAGAATGAAATATTGACGTGAGAGACACATTGAATGGTTGCCACCCACATGGCCCCAGCCAGGCCTGGGACAAACTGCAACCAAAGTACGTGCCCTTAGCAGGAACCAAACCCTGGACTCTAGTCCACCGGCTGATGCTCTAACCACTGAGCAAAACCGGCCAGGGCCTCTTCTGAGTTTTTTCAATTTATCATTTTTGTTGAAAGTATTACAGATGTCTGCCCTTTTTTCCCCCATTGATTCTCTCTCTACCCCATTCCTGCCTGCCCCCAGCTTTCCCCATTCTGTTGTCTGTGTCCACTGGTTATGTATATATACATATATATATGTATATATGGTCTTTGGTTTATCTCTTTCTACCCCCATCCCTACCCTGTGAGATTCCTCAATCTGTGTCTCTGGGTCTGTTTTGTTTATCAGTTTATTTTGTTCATTAGATTCCATATATAAGTGAGATCATGTGATACTTATCTTTCTCTGACTGGCTTATTTCATTTAGCATAATACTACCCAAATCCATTCATGCTATCTCAGAGGATAGATCTTTCTTTTTTACAGCTGTATAGTATTCCATTGTATAAATGTATGTCAACTTTTTTTTTGAGGAAGGGAGAGAGAGAGAAACTTCAATGTGAGAGCAAAACATCAGTTGGCTGCCTCCTGCACACCCCCTGTTGGGGAATGAGCCTGCAACCCAGGCATGTTGCCCTGACCAGGAATTCAATTGGGACCCCTCAGTCCATGGGATAATGCTCCAATGGCTGGGCTACCAGAGCATTTTTATCCACTCATCTACGGATGGACACTTGGGCTGTTTCTAGATCTTAGCTCTTATTAGTAGCACTGCTATGAATGAAATGGTGCATAAATGAGTTTTGTTCACTGGAAAATATGATGTGTAATTGGTTGACTTCCTTTTTCAAAAAAAGCTGTACTTGTGCAAGAGCAGCCCACAACTGTTAATTCAAGAAAGGAAGAACTCAGTCATCCTGCAAACCATGTGAAAGAACTTGAGGTAATTACTAAGCCTGTAATATTTTTTTAAATTGATGTTAGGCAATATATGAAATTTTAGCGTGTCATCCTCTTGATACGTTTAGACTATTTACTGTTTGACTAAAACGTGATGGCCGAACTTAAGTTAATTAAGCAATTCTTTTTAATCTTAGTCTCATAGAGAAGCATAGGGAGAGTACGTCCTTTGGGGTCTAGAGTTTTGCTTGAATCCTGTGTCATTTCTTTCCCTTACTACTTGTGTGCTTCCTGACAAGTTTTTTAAACATTGAGATGTTGTCCACAGTATGTGGTGTTGAACTCATAACTGTGGCCAGTACATTTTAGTTTCTACCTCAGCCTCTTCTTCCTTCTCATAGCAGAAGGTAAAAATTCCTATTATTTCATCAGAATCTTACAGGTTTTTCACATGCCACTGTGACTTCATTTCTGTTCTTTTATTTATGCTATCTGAAGGACAGAGCTGGAACTTTACCTACCTAAATACATTCTGCATATAAAATGTATTTTTGCTGCTGTAACGACTTAATTATTTGAGATCTTTGTAGCTTTTGTATGCAAACATGAGATGTGCAAAAGACAGCACACACAGCACGTTTGTGATAGCTCACCTTTTTGTATTTAAAAGCATATATTGCTACAGTCTGTGATTGCTGTTGGGATCTTGGTTGTATATGGAAAACAGGGTGATAATCTTAATCAGAAGCACTCTGTAGGACAGGATACTACATAAGTATAAAGTTGGATATATGTCCCCTTGCCCCAACTCTTGGGCAAACAAGGACTTTAGTGGTTGTAGTCAGGTTTCTTACTACAGGGAGCCAGACTTGTTGAGGGACCTGAATTAAAGTGGGACTCCCCACTCAAAGCAGCCAGCCAGCTTTTACAGAAGCAGTGCTGCAAGCAGTGCTCCAATACAGGTTTCACTTTTTCAATTCCAGCTTGAGCTCGAGTCTCTCAAGGCCCAGTCTTTGGCGATAACAAAGCAAAACCACCTGCTGAATGAAAAGATAAAAGAGATGAGTGACTATTCACTGCTAAAAGAAGAGAAACTAGAGCTTCAGACACAAAATAAATTACTTAAACAACAATTGGAAGAGAGCAGAAATGACAACTTTCATCTCTTAAACCGTATGTCTTTTCTGATTTGCATGTCTTTGTAATTTGTATGTGCTTAGTATTGTGAAACTGTTTTGTACCTGTAAGGGAGGCTTCAATTGGGAGAATTTTATAAAATTAAGGTCTTAGTTTGCAGAAGCACTTTGCTATTTGCTTTTTGCTTGCTATTGGTATTGCATGATTACTAGTGTCATTAAGAAGAAATACTTTTAAACTGCACAAATCTGCCTCTCTGGATTGTACCAGTCTCCCTTTGCTCTCTGCTGCTCAGGTTTAGTGAGTGGGTTCACCTTCAGGCCAGGAAGGAGGGATGATAGTGAGATTGAGGCTGCTGTTATCCCCTTCCCAACATACCTGTACCTCCTACACCTCTACTGTGGGCTTTGGGCTGGTCCTGTGCCTCTCAGCCAGGCATGATCCCAGTGCTTTGCGGGATGGCCTCTCACTGTGCTCTTAAGCCTGAGCCACCCCTTTCTATTTTGGGGGATTCTTTCCTCCCTGACCCTCTAGGCACAAGGAGTGTTACAGTATGGCCCCTCTACTAGCCCAGGGAACTATACCATCTTTTGTGGCTACCTTACATGAGTTGCCTTTAATTGAGGGTCCTCCAGTGACTGAAATGGGGGAACTCGATCTGCTGTCTGCCTGGACTCTGAGTGCCGCTGACAGAAGCACAGATCAGATGGGACTTCAGGGTAATCAGCAGGCTTGGATGAGGGCTCCTTCTACATCTTCTGTGTGTGGCAGAGAAAAGAGGCAGATGTTCAAGTTAATTTGAGGATTGAAAATAATTTTTTCACTTGGAGTGGACAAGGAAAAGTGAAATATACATTTACATGCATTAAATTCTTAAATCTGTGAGTCAAGATTGCTCTTAGTCCATTTTAGAATTAATAGATATTAACTACATGTGTACAAAGAAAAGAAAGCAATTTAAAATCTCTTTAGCTGCTTTTGCTACGTGAAATGAGAAAACTTATGGTTGGTAATCACCGGGCTTTTTTACCTTCTTTGCTATAGCTCAGCCATCTCCTGAGCTGCTAAATTCTCAGAAACAATTAAAGAAAGCAGGAACTGCTAACGTGTTGGAGCATAAGGAATTCGAAACCCACAAGGAAGCTCTGCACAAACAGCTGCAAAGTGAAGTGAGTACTGCACTCTGCTTGCCAGGTGTTAGACCGGCCCATTTTGTACATGTGTAAACTTGCCATATGTCACACCGGCGTAAATCAGATCAATTTTAACATAAAAACTTACTCCTCCAATATGCTAAGATTATCTTTCTTATCTGAGAAAATCCTGGAGTGAAGGTATGACTTTATATTTATAATGGTAATAAAATCCAGAGGAAAGCAAACACACATACACACAAAATTGTCCAAGTCCTGATGGTGCCCACTATTAGTGTCTCTTGATCCTCTCCTTGTAACTTATAAATATTGACAATCTCTTTATGGTGTCTGCCGCATGCCCTGCAGTAGCTATTCTTTGAGATGAATGAAAAAGGAGGTGGGAAATATGTTTGTGTACTTTGTTGTTTTCTAGGGACTTGTGGATCACAGACAAACCTGCTTAGAATAGGCAAAGCAGAAAAAGAGAATAAGCCCAATAAGAGACTTGTTCCTTTTGAAGTAGATGAGGATTTCTTTTATACTGATTTCTTTTTCTTCTCTAAATCTTTTCAGATTGAGCATTCTGCAAAGCTGAAGGCCCAAATATTAGATTATGATGCCTCTGTAAAGACATTAACTATGCAGGTGGCTGATTTAAAATTCCAACTGAAACAAACCCAGACAGGTTAGAGACATTTTTAACCTATAAGTGTGTGCATGTATGTGTAAAACTTCTGATGTTTGTGGGAATATCATTACTCACTGAAATTTTATTAATTCTCATAGTAGCAAAGAAAGCCATAGAAATATGTCATCTTAAAAGTACATTTCCTATTCATTTCAGGAATACCAGTGAAGTCATCAGCTAACCTGACTTGCTTTTACAGGTGTCCCATGGCTTGAGAGAACCTCATACCACAAATAAGAAAGGTGTGGTGATGATGCACCTCAAACTCATTGTGGACCTAGGCTTTTCTTTTGTATTTGTACCTCCAATAATAAGATCAATCTGACTCTTCAGTGCTGTTTCACGTTCCTCAAGAGATGAGTAAGCATAAGAGAGAAGCAGGGTGGTTTATGTTACATTATTGTAAATCACATTGATTATATATACTGTTTTTGTACTGCGCTTCTGAAATTAGTTGATTGATCTTGGGCACATTTAACATTCTTGAACCTCAGTTTCCTCATGTGTAATGGGGATGAGAGTATCTCCTGTGCCACAGGGAAGATGAAATGAAATGGATCCCAGTGGAGCACCTGGGACACATCAGACACTCGGAAGGGTTGCTGCTATCAAGTTATTGCATGTCTTCACTGAGGATGCATATCTGGCCTTTCCTGCTTCATAGGAAGTGTACTTTTTTTGCTGCCTTCAAGCTCAGAAAGAAGGAACTTTCTGTGTGTTAGCAGTTGAATTGGTTTCTCATGCTTCCTGATGCTGAACCTTCCTCAGTTCCCATTTGCACTCTTTCCTCATCAGTTCTTTTTTAAAAAATTTTTTTATTAATTTATTTTAGCTACAGATGTGTCTTCTTTTTTTTACCCATTACACCCTCCTCCCCATACCCTCTACCCCATACCCAGCTTTGTTCATTATATTCCACAATTAAGTGAGATCATGTGATACTTGTCTTTCTCTGCTTGGCTCGTTTCCCTTGGATACTACTTTCCAGGTCCCTCCAGGTCATCTAAAATGATAAGAGATCTTTCTTTCTTACAGCTGCATAGTACTCCATTGTGTATATCCACAGCTTTTTTATCTATTTGTCTATGAGGGACACTTGGGCTGTTTCCAGATCTTAGTTATTCTCCCCATCCCCCCCATCCTGTCCCCAGCTTTGTTGTCCGTGTCCATCAGTTATGCATACTGCATATAAGTTCTATGGTTTATCTTTTCCTCCCCCCTTTCCCCCTCTCTCTTCTGAGGGTTGTCAGTCTGTACCCTATTTCCATGTCTCTGGGTGTACCCTGTTCCTCAGACTGTTATATTCATTATATTCCACAAATAAGTGAGATTATGAGGTATTTGTCTTTCTCTGCTTGGCTTGTTTCACTTAGGATAATACTCTCTAGGTCCTTCCATGATGAACTCACAGAAAGAGAAACTAAAAAAACAATTCCATTTACCATCCTGGCAAAAAAAATTAAGATACCTAGGAATAAACTTAACCAAAGAAGGAAAGGATCTATTTGACCCTTATTTTCTCTCAACAAGTCTATTTGCCAAACTGCGCACAGCTGAAATCATGGTGATCTCCAATGATGAAAAATATTTTGAGGATAGAACCTTTTCAAACACATGCATGGTTCTGGAGGCATTGCTGGAGAGCAGCGGCCACATGGAATGGCTGTACATGGACTGGCTTGTGTTAGGTATTTCCAGTATCTGTACACCTTTTTACCTGTGTGACCCAGCCTCAGCCCCAATCTGTAATGTGGGAGGAGGGAGAGGTCCCAGACTTGTTATAACTGTAGGTCCTCACTTTCTTATCTGATTCTTGGACCCAACAGTGGATTTGTCACAGCCCTGGGAGTTCTGGGGAATCATCCTTTAGCAAACCAAGTGTACAGTCAGATGTTTGACTATCTGTGCTGGGTAGAATAAATAAAGATTATGAATGGGTTTGCATCAGTTCAGGTCTCAAGTTTGCTTAGGCTTTGTGACCAAATAAATTACGAATCAATGTTCAGTTCTCAGAGTTTTTTGGATTTCAAGACTGTGTATTATGGATTATGAAATAATATCAGGTATTAAGAAAGACAGCATGTGAAGCTATGGTTGCTACATAAAAGTTCTCAATAAAGGCCAGTAAATAACTCAGTATCAGCATGGCTTCAGAAATGGCTTAATGTAAATGTTTCTTTTTATTAGTACCTCCTTTCGTTTTTCAAAAAAATTTCCAAGCATATTTGAATTTTCTTTTATTTTAAATACATTTTCTGTGATCTTTTATTTTTATTTTTTTATGTTTCTTATTTTTTTAATTAATTTTTTTACTTTTGTTACAGATGTTTCTCTTTTTACCCCATTGTTTACCCTCTCTCCCTCCTTCCCCACCTTGTCCCCAGCTTTGTTGTCCATGTCCATTGTTCATGCATACGTGCATATAAGTTCTGTGGTTTATCTCTCTGCCACCACATAGTCTTCTAGGGATTGTCAGTCTGTATGTCACTTCCATGTCTCTGGAACTACATTCCTCAGACTGTTATGTTCATTATATTCCACAAATAAGTGAGATCATATAATACTTTTTTTTCTCTGTTTGGCTTGTTTCGCTTAGTATAATACTTTCCAGGTCACTCCATGTCATCTCAAAGGATAAGAAATCTTTCTTTCTTACACCTGCATAGTACCCCATTGTATATATATACACCACAGCTTTTTTAACTATTCGTCTACTAATGGACACTAGGGCTGATCCAGATCTTAGCTATTGTAAATAATGCTGCTACAAATATGGGGGTACATATATTCTTTCTGATTGGTGTTTCAGGGTTCTTAGGGTATATTCCTAGAAATGGGACCACTGGGTCAAATGGCAGTTCTATTTTTAATTTTTTGAGGTAACACCATATTGTTTTCCATAGTGGCTGCGCCAGTCTGCATTCCCACCAGCAGTGTACTAGAGTGCCCTTTTTTCCACACCCTCACCAACACTTGTTGTTTGATGATTTGTTGATGGCGGCCATTCTGACAGGTGTGAGGTGATACTTCATTGCTGTTTTAATTTGCATCTCTGTGAAGATTAGTGATGTTGAGCATTTCTTTATATGTCTCTTAGCCGTTTGTGTGTCCTTTTTGGGGAGGTGTCTGTTTAGTTCCTCTTCCCATTTTTTAATTGGGTTCTTTGTCTTCCTTTTGTTGAGCTTTATGAGCACTCTATATATATTGGAAATTAACCCCTTATCTGATATATCATTAGCAGTGATGCTCTCCCATACAGAGGATTGCCTTTCCATTTTGAAGATTGTATCTTTTGCTGTGCAGAAGGTTTTGAATTTCATGGAGTCCCATGTGTTTATTTTCTTCTTTGTTTCTGTTGACTTAGGTGAGGGATCAGTGAAAATTCTGCTGAGTATGATGTCTGAAATTTTGTTGCCTACAGTTTCTTCTAGGATTTTTATGGATTCACAAGTCACATTTAAGTCTTTATTTATTTTGAATTTATTCTTGTGTATGGTGTAACTTGATGTTCTAGTTTCATTTCTTTGCATATAGCTGTCCAATTTTCCCAACACCATTTATGAAAGAGGCTGTCCTTACTCCACTATATGCTCTTGCCCCCTTTGTCAAATATTGATTGAGCATATTGCCTTAGGTCCATTTCTGGGTTCTCTGTTCTGTTCCACTGGTCTATATGCCTTGTGCCAGTACCAGGTTGTTTTGATTACACTGGCTGTGTAGTATAATCTGAAATTTGGTAATGTGATTCCTTCAACTGTGTTCTTCTTTTTTAAGATTGCTATTCAAGGTCTTTTTTGTTTCCATATGAACGTTTGAAGTATTTGTTCTGGTTCTGTGTATCTTGGTATCTTGATAGGAACTGCATTGAATCTATAGATTGCTTTGGGTAATACGGACATTTTAATGATGTTAATTCTTCCAGTGCATGAACAAGGTATGTGCTTCCACTTTTTTATATCTTCTTCTATTTCTTTTTTCAGTGACCTGTAGTTTTCTGCAAATAGGTCTTATATTTCTTTGGTTAAGTTTATTTCTAGGTATCTTAATTTTTTTTGCTGCATGGTAAATGGGATTTTTTTTTTTAGTTTCTCTTTCTGTGATTTTGTCATTGGTGTATAAAAATGCCATGATTTCTTGACGTTAATTTTGTATCTTGTTACTTTGCCCAATTCATTTATTAAGTCTAGTAAATTTTTGTTGTAGTTGAGGTTTTCTACATATGGTATCAGGTCATTTGAGAATAATGACAGTTTCTCTTCCGCTTTCCCATTTGGATCCCTTTTACTTTTTCTTCCTGTGGCTGAGACTTCCAGTACTATGTTAAATAAGAGTGGTGAAAGTGGGCATCCTGTCTTGTTCCTGTTCTTAAGGAAAATGTTTTTATATTTTCCCATTGAGTATGATATTGGCTGTAGGTCTTTCATATATGGCCTTTATTATGTCTAGATATGATCCCCCATTCGCCGATTGGTGAGCATTTTTATCAGAAATGGGTGCCGGGTTTTGTCGAATTCTTTTTCAGCATCTATTGATATGATCATATGACTTTTTATCTTTCATTTTTTTCATGTGGTGTATCACATTGATTTGTGACTACTGTACCAGCCTTGCTTAGATGCATCTCACTTGGTCATGGTGAATAATTTCTTTGATGTATTGCTGGATCTGATTTGCTAGTATTTTGTTCAGGATTTTGGCATCTATGTTCATCAGTGATATTGGTTTGTAGTTTTCTTTTTTAGTAGTGTCTTTTTCAGGTTTTGGAATTCGAAATATGCTGGCTTCATAAAACGAGTTTTAAAGTCTTCCTTCTTGAATTTTTTGGAATAGTTTGAGGAGAATGGATAGTAGTTCTTCTTTAAACGTTTAATTAAATTCCCCCATGAGGCCATGGGAGCCTGGGCTTTTTTGTGCCGAGAGAGTCTTGATTACATCTTCAATTTCTTTTGTTGTTACTGGTCTGTTCAAGGTTTCTTTCACTTCCTGGTTCAGTTTTGGGAGACTATGTGTTTCTAGAAATTTGTCCATTTCACTTATATTGTTGAATTTGTTATGAATTACTTATAATATTTGTTAATGATCCTTTTTATGTCTGTGGTGTCAGTTATTATTTCTGCTCTGTCATTTCTGATTTTCTGTATTTGGATTCTCTCTGTTTCTTGGTGAGTGTAGCTAAGGGTCCATCAATCTTATTTATCATTTCAAAGAACCAGCTCTTCAGTTCATTGATCCTTTGAATTATTTTTTGATTTCCATGTCATTTATTTTTGCTCTGATCTTTACTATTTCCTTCCTTCTACTTGCTCTAAGGTTTTCTTTCTGTTTGCTTTCTAGTTCTTTAAGTTGTGAGGTTAGATATTCTGTTAGAAATTTTTATTGTTTCTTGAGGTAGGCCTATTGTGCTATGAATTTTCCTCTCACAACTGCTTTCTCTGCATCTCAGAGGTTTTGTGTTCTTGTGAGGGTTTTTAATTTCTTCCTTGATCTCCATGGTAACCTACTCATTGTTCAATAACATACTATTTAGCCTCCATGTTTTCATATGTCTTTGCATGTTCTTATTGCTTTTGATTTCTAGATGCATGCCATTGTGATCTGAGAAGATGCTTGATATGATTTTAATCTTCTTGAACTTGTAGAGAATTAGTTTGTGCCTTAACATGTGGTCTGTTTTTGAAAATGTCCCACGTGCACTTGAGAAGAATGTAAATTCTGTGATTTTGGGGTGTAATGCTCTGTAGATATCTATTAAATCTATTTAATCTAGTGTTTTATTTAGAGTCTTGTTAATTTTTTGTCTAGAATATCTATCCAGTGATGTCAGTGGGTTATTGAAGTCCCCTGCCATGATTGTATTGCTATTGATTTCTCCTTTGAAGTCTTCCAGAATATTTTTAATATATGTTGGTGCTCCTAAATTGGGTACATATATGTGTACCAAGGTTATATTTTCCTGTTGGAAAGATCCTTTCAATATTATGTAGTGTCCTTCTTTGTGTCTAGTGATGGCCTTCATTTTGAAATCTCCTTAATCAGATGAGTATTGCTATCCAAGCTTTTTTTTTTTTTTTTGCTTTCTGTTTGCTTGAAAGATTTTTTTCTATCCCTTCACTTTCTTTTTTTTATTAAAATTTATTTTATTTACTTTTTAATTTTATTTTTGTTACAAATGTTTCTCCTTTTTTACCCCATTGGCACCCTCCTCCCCATACCCTCCACCCCGATCCTGGCTTTGTTGTCCATATCCATTGGTTATGTTTACATGCATATAAGTTCTGTGGTTTATCCCTTCCTCCCCCACCTCTTCTGAGGGTTGTCAGTCTATACCCTACTTTTATGTTTCTGGGTCTACCGCATTCCTCAGACTGTTATGTTCATTATATTTTGTATATAAGTGAGATTATCTCTTCACTTTCAACCTATGTGAGTCTTTTGTTGTGAGGTGGGTTTTTTGTAAACAACATGTATGTGAGTCATGTGTTCTTACTCAGTCAGCTGCTCTGTAGCTTTTTATTGGAGCATTCATACCATTCACATTTAAGGTGATAATTGATACATACTTATTTATTGCCAATTTTGTTTAGTGTAGTTCTATTTTTCTCCCTATTTCTTCTACTAATTACAGCAGTCCTTTTTTTAACATTTCCTGAAGCGCAGGTTTGGTGCTAATGTATTCCCTTTTTTTTTTGTCTGTGAAGCTCTTTGTTTGACCGTCTATTTTGAATGATAGCCTTGCTGGATAGAGTTGTCTTGGATTCAGATCCTTGTTTTTCATGACCTTGATTACTTCATGCCACTTCCTTCTGGCCTATAGTGTTTCTGTTGAGAAGTCAGCTGAGAGCCCTATGTGGGTTCCTTTTTAGGTAACTTGTTATTTATCTCTTGCTGCCTTTAGGATTCTCTATTTTTCTTTAATTTTTTGCATTTTAATTACTATATATCTTGTTGTGGGCATGTTTGGGTTCTTTCTACTTTGTATTCTCTGTGCTTCTTGAACTTGAATGCCTTCTTCCTTCACCAAGTTAGGAAAGTTTTCTGTCACTGTTTCTTCAAATATATTCTCTAACCCTTTCCCATTTTCTTCCTCTTTAGGGACTTCTATTATATGAATGTTAGGTTTGCAGTTGTTCCACAGTTCTCTTAAGCTGGCTTTCTGTTTTTTAATTGTTTTTTTTTCCTTCTGATTGGTTGATTTTTGCTACCCTGTATTCTATTTCACTGGTGTGGTTCTCAGCTTCCTGTCCTCTGCTGGTTAGTCCTTTCAATGTGTTCTTAATTTCTGCTATGTCACTCTTCATTTCTACTTGGTTGGTTTTTAATGTTTCTGTATCTTTACTCATGGTGCTGATGTCCTTACTCATGCTGTTGAGCTTCCTCAAGATCATGGCTCTGAACTCTACCTCTGATAATTTGCTTAGCTGCATTTCATTGCTCTCATCTTCAATGGAGTTCTATTATTCTTTCATTTGGGATTTGTTTCGTTTCACAATTTTCGCTATCTCTTTGGGTTTTGGAGCCTGCCAAGTTTTCCCTTTGGGTGGTGGTGTTCTGCTGTTTGTGGCTCCCTCTGCTGGGTTTGGATGAGCCTGGGTGGGCCCACATTAAATACCATTGTCAAGTCTTACTTTCCTGGATAGAATTGCAAGCCCTGGAAAGGTTCAGTTACCTTTTGCTTTTTCCTGGTGGCTAGTATTCTCATTTACTCAGTGCCTTGGAATGTAGCCCTGGTGTTCTGCGTAAGAGGATTTCCAGAGGGTGGGGTAGATGCTGGTTATTAATGAGCCTTAATTTGCATTTCTTTGCCTCATCTTGGAAAGGCTGAATCTCCAATGGGTGGCTTTGCTTTTCCCCACAGCTTGGGGAAGGAGCACAGTGGCTACCGTCTTTTGTGGCCTTAACTCAGCAAAGACTCTTAGTGCTCTCCAAATCCCAGGTGTCCCCAGAGTTCCATCCAGCATAGTCTCTCCTCCCTCTGCCGTAGCCCCCATGTGAGTCCCTGTGGTTATTTTAGGGCTCTGTTCTGTCTCTCTGCACTGTGGAGTGCGCTTGGTCTTTATTGCCCATGAGTGCTGCTTGCAGCTAAGACTTCTGCTGACTGTGGGCTCCAAGCCCACCACCCTATTGCACCCCCACAGATCCTTCCAATGTCCCTGGTTATATGGTCCTGTCCTGCTGCTTTTCTGTTGCTTTTTCTCGAGGATTTGTCTATTTCAGTTATAATTCCCATTTCGTCATGGGAGATCGTCTGCCTAGCTTCTATTCACTGCGTTTCTATTTTTCGCATCCTCTATGCTTGTCTTGTGCACAGCTGGGTCGCATAGGCCTTCCTGGTGCCCCAGCACCTTGCGGGTCCCGCAGGTAACTGGATGGCACAATTTCTTTGGGGTCCCAGCTCTATGCCTGTGTTATGGTCTGTTGGGTTGTAGAGGCCTCTCTGTTGTGTCAGCACCCCTCAGGTCCCATAGGTAACTGGATGGCACAGTCCCTACTAGGACACATAGTCTCTCAGGTACTTCAGCACCCCGAAGGTCCAGTGGGTTCTTGGATTGCACAGTTCCTGCTGTGTTACATAGGCCTCTCTGGTGCTTCAGCATCCCGCAGGTGTCTCAGGTAACTGGATAGCAGAGTACCTGCTAAATCGCACAGGCCTGTCTGGTGCCCTGAACCCTGCAGGTCCCGAGAGCAGGCAGCTGGATAGCACCAGTCTCTCTAGGGCTCTGACTTCCCACTGCATTTCTGAGCTACTGGATTGCACGGGCCTCTATGGAGTCCCAGGTCCATGGCAGCTGAGGAGTGCTGCTGCCCTATGGGGTTTAACTCCTCAGCTATTGTTGTAGTTTTAGGGGATGGGTCTCAGCTACTGGTCTGTGCTTCTGTTGCCTTGGTGTCTGCCTTCTGATGTCTGCTCCCAGCTTTGTTGCTTTTGGGGGGATTTATGTAGAATCTGACAGGGCTGCTACTATGGGGGATGGTGCTGGGCTCCGGACTGTCTGTGGCATTTGCAACTGGCACTTTGGGAGCTCCACTACTGTGCACTGGTCTGTATTGACACAGAGGTCCACTGGTCCGATGGTGCCAGGTGCGCTGGTGGGCTCAGGTTGCTGCGCCCTAGCCACTCCCACTGCCTTCTTCCAGGGAAGACCTGGGATCTTCCAAAATGGTGGGACCTCCCCGGAGCACAGGGAGAAGCGCCCTGAAGGGCAGCTTACCGCGGTAGCCAGCTGCTCCTGTCCACAGCACAAGAAACTTCTGTTCTGCATCTCTGCACTGCTCGGGTTTAGTCGTCCACCTTCATGTCCACACACACTCTCTCACATATGCGCTCACTCTCTCACACACTCACCCTCCCTCTCATCATGCCCTTGCCATCTTTCTATTTTTTGCATATTTGAATTTTATTTTCTGCTCATTTATCACATCATCTCTGTAATCCACAGCGCTGGAGAATGAAGTATACCGCAATGCAGAAACGTCTCTGTTCCCTCGTTCTGCCATCAAATTGATGGTATCTTCTGACAGTGAAATAAGCAGGGATTTCCTGAAAAATCTCAAACAGGAGAAGCTGATGTCAGGCACAGTCACACCAAAAATCACAAATTATCCATGTGCAAACACGGATGCTAGCTCCCCTGATTCTGACCTTGAGTTTATAGCCACCACCAAGGCAAGAATGAAAGAACTAGAGCAGGAGGCCAAATGTTTAGAAAAAGCTTTCCTTGATTACCATCAGAGAGTTAGTCAGTACCCTGCCACTAGAACACCACTAGCATCCAAGAACCCACCACCTGTGCACATGCATGGACCTCTCAAGAACATGACTTCAAGTTCCTCGGAAAGGCATAGCCTTGCAGAGGAAGGGGCTGTACCCAAGCAGCTTCCGGTGGGTAACATGGCAGAAGTGTTGGGCAAAATAGCCTCATGGATCCACAGAGGTACTGGCAGATGCCTCTCTTCCACTCCCATAGAGAAAGCTAAACAAAGTGTTGATGGTGAAATGCATCTGGAAGGTAAGCTGCAGAAAGAGTTGCAGGATTCTCTGGACTTGGATGGTCCTTAGTGGACTTCTTATCTGATTAAGAGTGAGCCCTAGACCGCATGAAGGAGCAGAAAGCACATGCTTAGCTGGGCCCAGAAAAGCTTGGGCCTGGGATATCTCTAGCCTGATCACTTGTGTCCTGCTTACTAGCAGCTTTTCCACTATGGCACAAGGTTGGTGTGGGAGGCAATTGGATAGAGTGGCAAGCTCCCATTATACTTATTAGCATGTGAACATGCTCAGAGTGATAATGACTTTTCTCTTACTGCTGATTAGTTTTGTACAATTTACCGTAATCACTGCAGTGTTGTTGAGGTATTTGAATCATTAATGTTGTGAATCATTTATACATACTCAATTATTTACAAGGATAATAGATTTTTGAAACTAGTAGCACTCCTTAGAAACCACATTACTTTTTTCTCCATGTAATTTGTAATGTTTTTGCCCTGATACCTTCTGCCCCTTAGGTCTAGCCCAATTCCACGTTGCTGCCACTAGTCCTTCTGAAAGAATGCGCCAGCCTTTACCAACTGAGTGTAGGCACAGCCTTTCCATTCATTCACTCTCTGGCCCTCTGGAGCGGAAGGCTGAGTAAGTCCTATATTCTGGTTGGACCCAGCCAAGTCTAGTGAGCTGCATGGGGTCTCAGCCTTGACTTGTTGGGTATGTTAAGGTGATGTTCAAGACCACATGAGATTATAGAATTTACTGTCAGATTGTGAGATGAGGTGTTGTCTTTGAGACTCTTCTGAATTATGTGGGGAAAATTTCTTTTAAAAGATAAGTGATTTCTCCTTGCATGCTAAACCTAATGTGTATAATATGCACTATGGTAGCAATAAACGTCTTTATAGTTCCATGAATAGAATTGTATTTTAAAGATCAAAAAGTATTCTACAGAATCTGCAAAAGCAAATAAATTGTTTATTTTTAAACTTCCAAGTAGTTTCACATATGAAAAAGTCATTTAAAAAATATTTTTATTGAGATGAATTCTAAAGTAGTAATGGGTCGTAGGGTCTGATTGCTGAAGTAAGATAGAGTAGATGTATAGAGCTCAGCGTTGGGTCAGCCAGGCTGGGATTCAGGTGACGTGGGACTCCTGCCTGTGCCTGATTCTTATGGTAAGAGACTCTGACTCCTTAGTTCTGAGCTCCGGGATGGACATCTGGCAGCATATTAATTCACAGTTGAAAACTACCACATGTCCTAGTGCATGTAATATGTATATATCTTATATCACTCGCTCTTGTGATAAAGCCAAGAGACAAGACACTCACACGGTGAGTTAGGACACTTTAATGCACGTGGGGCTTGTAGTATTACATCTTCAGCTGAGTCATGCAGATGGTGTGTAGAATTTATTTTTTTCAAAAATGTTTTGTGGTTCTTGAAAAAATAAGCTCCTAGGAACAGCATTGAGAGTGCAACATTACCCCTTGTCTACAATGGTAGTTCCTATCTGACAGTGTAAGGTGGTTATGAGGAGTATCTGAGCTGGAATGATGCCTGGTACATGGAGAACACTCAGTGCAGGATATAATAATAATAAGTACAGGATTGCTCTTATTCTCAGTGAGCACAGTTCATTCTCTAAAGCATTTTCTTTAGTTACAAAAGGCATTTTATTATCCTATGTTCTTGTGTTTTACGTTATTCCACCTGCACACTCACAAATTTTATTCTTCCAATCCAGCTTTTATCAGAGAAAAACTGAACTTCAAGACAGAAATGAATTTTTAATTTTGGACAAACTATCTTATAAGGCTAATGAGGAATTAGAATCATCATTTCAATGTAAGTTCAAATATAAGTACTGGTTTTTTATAAGTTAAAAATGTAGAAAGCTTACTTTTGATAAAACATATCCATTGTTAATCAAAGTAGTTAAAACCATAAATGCCAATGTATTGCCTCATTTTTCTGTCACAAAGATTTTCAGGGTTACCTTTGAGTTCCGTTTGTAAAATTTAGTATGATCAGTACTTTCAAAGGGTTAGCCATGGCCAGAAGTAAACCCTTAACTTAAAATACCAAGTTTGAGATTGCCTCAGATTTCAAATAAGTGATTTTATAGTTTTTCTTTTGTTGTTTTTTATGGAATATAAAGATGCTAAGTTTTCAAGTTGTACAGATTCTGTTAGCAGCCTCAGATTTAGAAAACCCCTTCTTAGTGAAAGAATGGAGGTGAAAATATATTAACTTCATTGTCCAGAAACTAATGTCCTGGCTCTGGCCTTACGATAGCTTGTTCTCTGGGATCCGACTGGCTAAGTATAAAACCAGGATGCAAAGTGAACTGTTTCTGAAGTCTTTATATTTGAATATAACTTATTGTGCACCTAGTGAGCTTCATCACTAAGTCTGAAAGTGTACTTTGAACATTTAAATGAGAGGACTTAGTAAAATTTGCAAATTCTTTGCAATTAACTTGGATAACTTGATTAACTAATTCTTTGCTATTTAAACGGAGTTCAGATGATTATTAGCAAACCAAGTAAATTCTTCTGTCACTTTCCTGCTGGGTTAGGAATCTAATTTAGGAAAAAAATGTAATTCTTTAAAATGTAAGAAAGCTTTGAGAAGTGAATACATTGGCAAGAGGTTATGCTAAACACATCTTAGAATTAATTCTCTAGGGAAAGGCCTGGCCTGGTTGCTTTGGCTGACACTTGAGCGCTCCATGATGAGCTGCACTCCCTTTCTTGCTGTTGTTAAAGACTCATGGGACACTCATTGGTACCTCATGTAGATTCAGGGGACACAGCAATGCAGTTTAAAATGGAGGGCCTCCAACCTCCTGGTGACATGCCTCACTTGGACACTGCTGCAGCTGCACTTCCTGCCAGATCTGTCTCCTCTTACTACCCAAGTAAGTTCCTTGGCTGTAGCTACAGGGAATATGACCATGTACCAAATGCCAGTCTGTGCCCTGTAAATTATTTCATGTATCATTGCAGGATTGTTTGTAAGCATAAATTATTCAAAGTCAAGGTTGTGATGATGCCATCAATAATGACATTTGTTAGGTAACTCTCAATCTGGACATATAAAGAGGAGAAAACTGGGAAACAAAGGCTTCTCATTTAGTCTTCCTGGGTCAGTGGCTTTTACAATTATTTTTTTACTTGTCCAGAGTCTGACAGAGAAGTTACCTTTTTTGCATAAGACACTTCTGAGAAAACTATTCCTTTTGGAGAAATCATAGTGTAAAACTGAAATGATGATTAATACCCATATACATATTTAGTGTGATTGTAGTTATGTTAATATTTCTTTGTTTTCTTCCTTCGTGTTTTAAAAATTAGGACAGAAAATTTTTATATTTAGGAAGAACTGATGACACTGGAGGAAACTGGTCATTAGACTTGTCTGGCCCAGTTTCTCCTTTCTCTTACCTTATTCAGATTGAGTCCCTCATCGGTGTGGACTCAAAAGGAAGAAGCGGTAGAGGGAGACTGGAGCTTCATTCTAGCCATGTATCTTTCTCCTTGAACAAAATTATTTAAGCCTCAAGCTTAAAAGGAAATTCCTCAAGTAAAATCACTTACTGTTTTCCCAGTGTTTTGTCAGGACTGTCATACCCCAAACCTACGTATGTATACGAAGCCTCTTACAAGCAGTTTATTGGTTTAAGTTAGCAAACTCAGGGATATGAGGAATTACTGAAAGAAGCAAGATACTTTGAAATGGTTGATGTTGCTGATTTTCAGAGTAAATCATTCTGGAAAGCACTCATTCAGTGAGACTTGACAAATAACTTTCTCTGTTCTGGGCGCTTTCCTTGGAGCTGGGCATATAGCAGTAAGCCAAACCAAGTTCTTACTTCACGGAGCTTTTAGTGGGAAAGTAAGTTAGCAAGCCATCACCAAGGACTGACCACCAGTGGGATAGGTACTAAGTAAGGGCAGTGGCCAATCAAGAGTGAATATGATAAGGAGCCATTTGGCAAGAGACTTGGGTGAGTAGGGAATAAAAATAATGTAAGACAGTAAGGGAAACTGAGTTGTTAGGTGTTCTACCTCTGAGATATAATGTAAATTATAACAATGACTCTTAAAATTCTTCTTAAATAGTGTGTTTACATTTTGATCATTGGAAAATTCTCTTAGTCATCATTTCTACTCTTCATATGGGTACAAAGGGAAATGAAAAAGGGCAAAACTTGGTATCTTTGAGGCACCCAGTGGAAACACTGCTTTTCTTGGCTCTTAATATCCAGAGAGTTTACTCTGTAGCTACAAAGTACAGTCAGATGCCCTTTAACTACAAGAGATATATTCTGAAAATTTGTCCTTCAGAGATTCATCATTGTGCAAACATTATAGAGTCACGTAAATTAGATGGTACATCCTCCTATACACTCAGGTGTGTGGTTTATTTAGCCTTTTTGGTTTTAGGCTACAAGTCATGTTATTCTACAAAACATGAAATTAAATCAAGCACAAGAGAAAATGATGGCCTGAAGAGAGATGATCAACATGAGGTGTATGAGGGTGCTGTCCACATAACATAGCATGCCATTTTACAGTAATTTTTTTTTTATCAGTAGAAAGAGAACACTATAAAATAATGATAAAAAGTATAGTGTAGTGAATACATAAACCAGTGACAAAATTGTTTATTACTATTATCAAGTACTGGATACTGGCCATAGTTATATGTGCTGTACATTTAAATGACTAACTGCAGTGGGTGGGTTTGCATTAGCATTTCCACAAATATGTGAGTAATGTGTTGTGTTACCATGTGATGATGACAGCATCACTAGGAAGCAGGAACATTTTAGCTCCATTATAATCCTAGGGGACCAGTATCACCAGTGCAGATGTTGTTATGCAGCTCATGACTGTATAACCCACAGCAAAGAAGTAGCCCCTTTTTTTTTCCTTTATGTTTTAAAATCAGTGACCAAACAGCATTTCTGTTTTTTTTTTGTTTTGTTTTGTTTTTAATGAATTTTTATTTATTTTTTTGTTACAGATATTTTACCTTTTTACCCCATTGGCACCCCCCACCCCACCCCCTCCACCCTGTCCCCGGCTTAGTTGTCCATGTCCATTGGTCATGCATACATGCATATAAGTTCTGTGGTTTATCTCTTCCCACCCCCCCACCCCCCATCCCCTCTTCTGAGGGATGTCAGTCTGTGCCCTACTTCCATGTGTCTGGGTCTACTGTATTCCTCAGACTGTTATGTTCATTATATTCCGTATATAAGTGAGATCATGTGGTATTTGTCTTTTTCTGCTTGGCTTCTTTCACTTAGGATAATACTTTCCAGGTCCCTCCATGTCGTCTCAAAGGATAAGAGATCTTTCTTTCTTACCGCTGCATAGTACTCCATTGTGTATATGTACCACAGCTTTTTGATCCATTCGTCTACTGGTGGACACTTGGGCTGTTTCCAGATCTTAGCTATTGTAAATAGTGCTGCTATGAACATGGGGGTACATATATTCTTCCTGATTGGTGTTTCAGGCTTCTTAGGGTATATTCCTAGCAGTGGGATCACTGGGTCAAATGGAAGTTCAATTTTTAATTTTTTGAGGTAGCACCATATTGTTTTCCATAGCGGCTGCACCAGTCTGCATTCCCACCAGCAGTGTATTAGAGTTCCCTTTTCTCCACACCCTCGCCAACACTTGTTGTTTGATGATTTGTTGATGGCGGCCATTCTGACAGGTGTGAGGTGATACCTCATTGTTGTTTTAATTTGCATCTCTCGGATGATTAGTGATGTTGAGCATTTCTTCATATGTCTCTTGGCCATTTGTATGTCCTGTTTGGAGAGGTGTCTATTCAGCTCCTCTGCCCATTTTTAATTGGGTTCTTTGTCTTCCTTTTGTGGAGTTGTGTGAGCTCTCTGTATATATTGGAAATTAACCCCTTATCTGATACATCATTGGCAATGATGTTCTCCCATACAGTGGGTTGCCTTTCCATTTTGATGATCGTTTCTTTTGCTGTGCAGAAGCTTTTTAGTTTGATGTAGTCCCATGTGTTCATTTTCTCCTTTATTTCTGTTGCCTTAGGTGATGTATCAGTGAAAATTCTGCTCCGTATGATGTCCGAAATTTTGTTGCCTACATTTTCTTCTAGAATTTTTATGGATTCACGGGTCACATTTAAGTCTTTTATCCATTTTGAGTTTATTTTTGTGTATGGTGTAAGTTGATGGTCGAGTTTCATTTTTTTGCATGTAGCTGTCCAATTTTCCCAACACCATTTATTAAAGAGGCTGTCTTTACTCCACTGTATGCTCTTGCCACCTTTGTCAAATATTAATTGAGCGTATTGCCTTGGGTCCATTTCTGGGTTTTCAGTTCTGTTCCACTGGTCTATATGCCTGTTCTTGTGCCAGTACCAGGCTGTTTTGGTTACAGTCGCTTTGTAGTATAACCTGATATCTGGTAATGTGATCCCTCCAACTTTGTTCTTCTTTTTCAAGATTGCTGTGGCTATTCGGGGTCTTTTTTGGTTCCATATGAACTTTTGAAGTATTTGTTCTAGTTCTATGAAATATGTCGTTGGTATTTTGATGGGGATTGCATTGAATCTATAGATTGCTTTGGGTAGTATGGACATTTTAATTATGTTAATTCTTCCAATCCATGAACAGGGTATATGCTTCCACTTTTTTATATCTTCCTCTATTTCTTTTTTCAATGACCTGTAGTTTTCTGCAAATAGGTCCTTTACTTCTTTGGTTAAGTTTATTCCTAGGTATCGTAATTTTTTTGGAGCGATGGTAAATGGGATTGTTTTTTCAGTTTCTCTTTCTGTGAGTTCATCATTGATGTACAAGAATGCCGTCGATTTCTTGACGTTAATTTTGTATCCTGCTACTTTGCCAAATTCATTTATTAAGTCTAATAGATTTTTGATGGAGTCTTTAGGGTTTTCTATGTACAATATCATGTCATCTGCAAATAATGACAGTTTCACTTCCTCCTTTCCAATTTGGATCCCTTTTATTTTTTCTTCATGTCTGATTGCTGTGGCTAAGACTTCCAGTACAATGTTAAACAAGAGTGGCGAAAGTGGACATCCCTGTCTTGTTCCTGTTCTTAATGGAAATGTTTTTAGTTTCTGTCCATTGAGTATGATGTTGGCTGTAGGTCTTTCATATATGGCCTTTATTATGTCGAGATATGATCCCTCTATTCCTACATTGCTGAGCGTTTTTATCAGAAATGGATGCTGGATTTTGTCGAATGCTTTTTCAGCATCTATTGATATGATCATGTGGTTTTTATTCTTCATTTTGTTTATGTGGTGTATCACGTTTATTGATTTGCGAATATTGTACCAGCCTTGCATCCCTGGAATGAATCCCACTTGGTCATGGTGAATAATTTTTTTGATGTATTTCTGGATCCGATTTGCTAGTATTTTGTTCAGGATTTTGGCATCTATGTTCATCAGGGATATTGGCCTGTAGTTTTCTTTCTTCGTAGTGTCTTTTTCTGGTTTTGGAATTAGAATTATGCTGGCCTCATAGAACGTGTTTGGAAGTCTTCCTTCTTCTTGAATTTTTTGAAATAGTTTGAGGAGAATGGGTGTTAGCATTTCTGTTTTGAGATTGCTATTTCCCTTGAGAAAGTGTTGGCATTTGAGTATAATCATTCTTCCACCAGCAAAGAGAATATCGCCCTTCTGCCTGTGGAAATGATCATTTGCCTCCGCTGGTATTTGAATTTCATTACTAGGAGCAGAAAATACAGAGGCTGTGCCTCTGTCCTGTTAGTAAAATTATCTCAGTTTCTGCCAGGGACTTAGAACAGGGCAGAGTAAAAACATTCCAGGTCCTTGGGTGAACCTATGAATTGGTCTCTTGGCACTGTTGAGGGGAAAAGGTTTAGCCTAGAGAAAATTTGAGTTCTTCCAGAGCTGGAGGAGAAAGGTCAGCATCTGTGAGATTGAGATTGAGTTAAACCTGTCAGGTAGGGACTTGTGCAAGCTGTAGGGAGTAGACAGCTCATTAAAACCTGGGTCTACAGATAAGGACCAATAGATATATATGGTTTGGACAAGGCAGGTACAAAATACTGAGTGAGTGTGGTGGTGGAGAGGTAACTGTCCCTTAAGGAATAACGAAGGCCTCGTTGAGGAGGAGGTGGCGCTTAAGAGGGGGCTTGCTCAGAGGAGGAGTTCTGTTGGGGAGGTGGGAGGAAAGGAGCACATCAGTTAGGGAGATAGTGAAAGCACAGGCACAGACCAAGGAAGGTACAGCTGTATTCAGCAAACAGTGAGACTGCTGCTAGGGACGCCGTGTTTGCAATGAAGAGGTATGGTGCTGTAGGAAGTTGGTCTGGAAAGAAACAGGTCGATTGTCAGAGCAGAGACAGCACACAGCAAGTCTAGGTCTTCTCATCAGGAAATAATGGGTACTGATGAAGAGGGGTGGCTTCAAGGCAGAGAGACTGATGTCAGGGAGAGTTTTTAACTAGGTTACTTCAGCTGCAGCTGTCCAGCTAAATTGTGGTAGGGACTCTAATGCAGCAGCAGGAGGAGTTAGAATGTGTAATCCCTGGTGGCCAAGTGAACATAGCAGTAGAAAGAACATGATTAAAGGGACAGAAATGATAATTTCAGGTATGAAACTGATGCCATAGTATTTCCATGAGTTAATGGCAGGGAGCTCGCCCTAAATGTGGATGTAAGATTGGGGAAGGCATCAGGACAAGAGAAAAAGATATGGGAATGATCAGGACAGAGGTTCTAGCCACAACCCTAGGAAGGGATCAGCCTTGAGGAAGTAGGGAATGATGGCTAGGAGGAGTGACTAGGAAGATGACTAGGAGGGATTCAGGGATGGGGTGCTGGTTTTGTACTGTTCTGGGCAGGAGAAACTTGAGTGCCTTTGTGGGAGTCAGTGGAAGGGTTATGAAACTTTGGTGGTGGCCCTGGCTTGGTAGCTCAGTTGGTTAAAGTGTTGTCTCACACACCAGGGTTGTGGGTTTGATCCCCTGTCAGGGCACAGACAAGAATCAACCAATGAATGCATAAATAAGTAGAACAACAAACCAATGTTTCTTTCTCTCCCTTTTTCTAAAAGTGAATAAATAAAAGTTTAAAACAAAACTGTTGTGGCAATAAATAGGAACTAATGATTAAGTCAGAATCTTAAAAAGAGTGGAGGGATTATAACCAAGTATAGAGGCAGGGCTTGGGAAGAATGAAGGAGAGACAAGGGGTGAAGAGGATAAGAAAATGTGATATGGAGGGGAGGATAATTGAAGTTGTTTGTGGTAAGGGTAACTTGTGTTTATCTCAGTAAAGTAAAAATCAGGTGCTGTGCTAGAAGCGGGGCTGGGGGTTGCAAAACCATTGATCAGCAGGCCAACATAGTCAGCTAAGTAACTGGCTATGAATCGAGCAGTCTTCCTGAATTGCATCAGGGGTGCCTGTAAACCAGTCCCACATTAGTTTGAAAAATGATGCTGAAAGTTACTAGCTCATTATTTTCTGTCTCTTCAGGCGTAGATGAGAAAGAAATTGGAGAAGAGAGTGAAGAAGAAAGAATATGGAATTTGCTGAAAGAAAAGCACAGAGAGCAAAGAAGGCAGAGTGAACATGAAGCTTTAGAAAGGAAACGAAGAGATCTAGAAAAACTGGATCAAGAAAGGGTAATAACTATAAAAATAGCTCAATTGTCCATGTTAAGCATCTGCATGGTACACCTTCAGTAAGTACCTTGCTGTCAGGGAAGTCAGTCCTTAGTATGTCCCGAAATCATGGGGTAGGTAGCTTTTGAAAAGCCTTCTGTAGGCATCGGGAATCTCCTCTTTGCTAAGCGCATTGAGAAGGGTTGCACGTGCACACCTTAGGAGACTCAAAGGAAAGGCATTTTCATGTGGTCCTGACAACATACTTGTAAAGGAGATTGACTGTGCTTTGCTATGGATCTTCCTTGTATAAGGGGGGTTTCCGGGTCAGATAACTGGGGCCAGAGGAACCCTGGAGAGGTGACTGCCAGTTCATGGGGGCTTCCTCAGGCCCCTCTGCCCTCCTCCTTTCTGATTCTCTGGCCTTCTATGTCCTGATTTTGGTCCCAGACAGATGGATTACTCTGCCACTTCACAAATCTGCTGGACCTTACATAAATTAATCTTCCATATTGATGTTCTTTGAACTCTAGCACAAGATCTACATTTGATCGTACAGCACGAGACACTAGACAAAGTAACCCCTTATTTCTTTGACATGACATTTTTGTCTCACTTTGATGGTACCAATGACTTCAGAAAATGATTTTCTCGCATGCAAGTTTTACATTAAGGATCAGAGTTACAGTACTATGTGTTTTTAAAACATATATATGTATTTGTTATTTGGGGCCATCTTATTTGACAGCGGATTATTGAAGAGTCTTTGAAGACTGAAATGGAGAAAGAGTCAGAAGTGAGTGTTCAAGAAATGAAAGAAAAATCTGTTTGTGGTGCAAATTTTTTGGAGAAATACATAAAAATTACTCAGGAGGACCAAAACCAGAAGTCAGATAAGGTGCTGGTGCCGTGGACCAGTGGTCTAGGTGTGGGGTGGGGGTGCAGGGGCTTGGGTGGTTTGTTAGAAAACCTGGCAACAGGAGTCTGCCTTCTCCACTGGAAACAAAAAGGTAAAAACAGAGGAAATCCAAAGTTCAAATGGAGCTTTAAATTCTTTAAGTACATTGCACTCTTGACAAAATTTTATCATTTTGTTTGGGTAAAAGATTGAACATACTTTGATTTTTCAGAGTTTGTAAAGGTTGAGTTGTCCCTTATTATTTTCAGAACAAGAATGAAATATAATGAAGGTCCTATCAGTGAATAACAAACGCATTGGTACTGAGTCATTAATATGTTACATAATTTTGAAATACTATGGCTACTGAGAAGGCACACTGGATAGAGCAGTGTGCTTGCTAAATTTCATGTTTAAAGTCACTTCTTTTTGGACCCTTAAATGATATTTATATTTCAAAAAGTTTTTAGAGAAATCAAAAGTGTCTAATAAAGTTAATACATATCTAATTTCAAAATGATTCTCCCCGCCCCTGTTTCAGAGCTCAATAAAGAGTGTCAGAGAAGGTTCACAAGTGGACACACTGCCCTCCAGTGACAAAGATGAGAGGTATGCTCTCTCCAACGTTGTTCTTATGCAAACAGTTACTATATTGCTGGCTTTGTCAGTCAAGGGAACCCTTCAGATGTTGTAGTCTGCCTGTAATAAATGATTGAGTTAATCAAAATTACTGGCTTTAAAACAAATGTTGCATTTCTAAGTTGTGAATACTGGTACTGATTCAAGGACAAAAACCCCACTGGGAAAGAAAGAACATTAGAAAGGTCCCCAAATCTACAGGGTAGGAATTTAACAAATTTTTTTCAATTTGTCTCTTCCTAATTTAGTTTCGCAGGTCTTTCTCATGAAGAACCAGACGACTTTTGTTAACCACATGTGCCGCCCAGGTTCCTTCTCATATAACTCAACAAAAGGCTTATGAGTTCTCTGTAGTAAGACAGAATTCTCAATAAAAATTGCTTGTGCATTTCAGTGTGGTTTCTTTTTCATAATTGTATTTTGTACTCAAGTGTATAAACCATTATCTAGTCAAGTGACACATTTTTCAGAATTTCTCATTATTAGGCCTTTCATTACACTGATGAAGCTGCTATTTTATTTGATGTTTTTGTGTTACATTACATTTCTTTGAAAACTATCTTTCTGGTCAAATTCCAGTCTTGCACTTTGGATGTTTCTTCTTTGTTCCTAGGTCTCTAAAGTTAGGCTACCACACAAACAGGAGGCCATCTTTCCCAACCCTGTTCTGATTTGCCACTCACAACAGTTTTTTTTTCATTCTCAGCTCTTCAAATAGTACAATATCACCACTAGTCTTTACTTTTTGACATTTTTTTCTAGAGAACCAAACCAAATTTTTAGATGATAAGAGAGGGTAACATTTACTGGGCACTTAATGTGTGTCAGGTACAGTGTTAAACTTGCACCTGTGTTAACTCAGTGCACTTACAGCCACATGAAGTGTCTGGGCTATGACTCCACATTCTACAGATTAGGAAAAGCAAGGCACAGAGAGGTTGGAGACTTGAACAAGGTCTGTGACTGTCCAGTTGTGGAGCCAGGACACCCAGATGTCGAGACAAGCATTCCCTCTAGCCTTGGCTGTACTGGAGCTGCTCTGGTAGAAGACATTTCAGGACTTGGAATGGCTCACTCATTAGATGCTTCTCTCCAGAGTGACTTTTAGAAAATACACATCACCCAAATCAAGGTAACCACACTCAAATGCGGCACCAGCATAACTTATAGATAAGAAGAGTGCCTTTTGCTCTCGCCCCTATGTTGTCACCTTTGTACACCTACAGCTGTCAGTCCAGCATCTTGCTGTGCAAGCATCTTGGGGAAAGTTCTTTCATGACTGCCATTGTGGTAACCAAAAGTGCACCCAGACTGCTTTGAGGGTGAACAACTGTCCCAGTTAGCCTGGGACATGAGGCTTCATTGCTAACCAATGGCCACCCGGTTCCTAACACAGGAAGGATTTCTCTGATCAGTATCTCCAGGAAAATCCCAGAGCAGATCATTTTTCTTTACTAATACCAGCTGGGCTGAATTATTTTTGCCAGTGATACCTGTCTGGCTCTTGAGTTCTATAACAAAGAGGGAAGACTTTAGTGTTTATTCCTGGGCTTCTAAGGAATTTTTTATTGAAATGTACTTTCCTTTTAATCCTACCTGAGGATATGTTTTTTTAGTTTTAGAGACAGGGATAGAGAAAGAAACATTGATATGAGGGAAACATTAATAGGTTGCCTCTCACACAAGCCCCAACCAGGGACCAAACTGGGGATTTTCCCTGACCAGGAATCAAACCTGCAGCCTTTTAGTACATAAGACAAGCCTCACCAACGATGCCTCTGAAAGAAGTAGGCACAGTGTATTGACACACTAAACATAGCAGATATTGATTCATATTGCCACCAAGAATTTGGCATCTTCTCTTGCAGTGGCATCTCAAATGTTTTTTGCAAAATGATTACCACCGTAGCATACACTAACACCTGCATCTCATCACATAAATACCACATACTTGCAGTGAGAATGTTTAAGATTTACTCTTATAAATTTCCAGCTATACAACACAGTAAAATAAGTATAATCACTATGCTGCACATTAGATTTCCCAAACTTATTGATTCCATAATAGGGAGTGTGTGTGTGTGTGTGTGTGTGTGTGTGTGTGTGTGTGTGTGTTTTGTTGAAAGTATTATAGATGTACTTCTTTTTTCCCCATTGATTTCCTCATTCCCACTCAACCCTGCTTGTGCTGTTCTCAGCCTAGTGTTCTTTTTGATTGGTTGTACATATATGAATATAAGTTCATTGGTTTATCTCTTCTTATCCCTTGCACCCCACTCACCTCCCAACCCTCTGAGGTTTATCAATCTGTTTCCTACTAACATAATTCTGGATTTCTGTTGGTTGACAGTTTATTTTGTTATGTTCTACAAATAAATGATATCATGTGGTACTTGTCTTTCTCTGGCTTATTTTGCTTAGCGTAGTACTTTCTAGGACCCTTCATGTAATGCCAAGTGACAAGAGATTTGTCTTACAGCTGCATAGTATCCCATTGTGTAAATGTACAACAGCTGTTTTTTTACCCCTTCATCTACTGATGGGTATCAGGGCTGTTTCCAGATCTTAGCTATTGTAAATAGCAATGTTGGGTTCTGGAAAATGGCAACAGAGTGAATGGGAGCTCAGAGACCATCTCCCAGGATCAAACTGGAATTTATAACTAAAAAAGTCATTGGGGAAAAAACTGAAGAGCTGCTGAAGAGAACCCTTATAACCAGGGATGTAAAGGGGACCCCCAAATTGAGACTGCTAAAAGCGGCGGAGGTGTGGGAAGGCTGGCTGGATGTCCACAGGCAACAGTTGAAGGCTGTCTTAGTTGTGAATAGTTCTCTTAGAGAAGTCAGGGATTAAAACCCAGTTTCCCAGGACAGAGTGGTGAAACAGGGAAAGGCTTCCACATAATCTCTGGCTGAGAAAAACAAGAGTTTTTTTCTGGCAGGGAGAGCACAGGGAACACTGGCACTTTCCTGAAAGACCAGTGCACTAAATCAGCTGTAGCTACTCACCATGGGCTCACAGAGGGAAGGCAGACTGAATAGGAACTGTGTGAAGAGGACTGTGTGGCACTGGTCAGAGAGCTGGAAAAGAGGTCATCAGAAGTTTTGTGCCAAATTACTTTCTCATAGGATAGTAGCTATCTCAGAGCCCTGGGCAAGAGCAGTGATCCCTCCCTCAGGAATTTAACACCACCCTGCAGGAGAAATGCAAACTGAGGTTCATTAATAGCTAGAGACTACCAACAAGCAAGGAGGAGAGGGATAAAAAATTATTTATATATATATATTTTAAAGATTTGAAATTTGGACCAGTCTCTCAGTGTTGGAGGCCCTGCCTCTGAGAATTGAGCAAAAAAAGCTAAGGTCTGAATTCCTATATCTAAGTGTCCTCCCCGATGGCTTCAGTGGCTATCTCTATCAAGTAGCCCATCAGAGGGTTTTAGCCTGGGAGAAAAGCAACTGCCCCTCCTAAGAAATTTAACACAAACATGTGGCTCTGGGGACTGGACTCTTGTGCTGAGCCAGAAACCACACTCTTCAAAGCAGTTTTAACCCAGGGGAAAGCAATTGCTCCACCCACTAGAATTACTTTTACTTTTTCCAGCTGAGGGCTACAACCTGAGGCTTATTAAGTAACTAAGATTAATAGTCTGTAGGCAAAAGCTCTAGGATAACAATCTGGTTGGCCTGAAATTCTACTCCGGAAAGTAAGATTAGACATTGGCATGGTCCCTACCACAGTCATCCAAACCCAGGAGAGGGACCCACAATCAGTGGGATACCACCATACAAAAGGAAAATTTTGCAGGCTCTCAAACCTGAGACTGCCAAATAGTGAAACAAAGAAACACATCTCAAATGAAAGAATAAGAAAATTCTACGGAAGAAAAGGGGATAAATGAAATGGAATTAAGCAAGATTTCAGAGGTAGAGTTTAGAGTAGTGATTATGAGGAAGCGCAGTTGCATGAGAAAACAAACTGAAAACCAACTGGAAAAGAAAAAAATGAAAAAGAATAACGACTTAGCAGAAATAACGTATTGGAAAAAATAACTAGCAGATTAGAGAAGCCAATGATCAGATCAGTGAATTAGAAGAAAAGGTAGATTAAGGAACCCAGTCAGTCAAAAAGAAAAAAGAGAAGAGAGTTTAAGAGAGCTGTGGGACAACAGGAAATATAAAAACATCTGCATTATACAAATTCCAGAACAAGAAAATGAGCAAAGGTTAGAGAATATATTTGAAGAAATACTTGCAGAAAACTTCTGTAACTTGATGAAGGAAATAGGCATGTAAGTTCAAGAAGCACAGACAGCTCTAGGAACAACCCAAAGAGGTCCACACCTGACCACATCATAATTAAAAGGCCAAAATTTAGAAATGAACACATAAAGCAAAGCAACAGGTAGCCTACAAAGGATCCCTCATTTAACTATCAGCTAATTTCTCAACATAAATACTACAGGCCAGAAGTGAGTGGCATGAAGTATTCAGGGTAATAAAAAATGCATCTGGATCCAAGGCTACTTAATCCAGCAAGACTAGCATTCAAAGTAGAAAGAAATGAAAGCTTCAAGGCAAAAAGAAAAGGAAAAATATATTAGCACCAAACTAGCACTGCAAGAAATGTTAAAAGTACTGCTGTAACCAGTAGAATAAATCAGAAGAAAAATATAACGACAGTAAACAAAAATGGCAATAAATAAGTACATGTCAATAATAACTTTACATGTAAGTAGATTAATGCTCCAATCAAAAGACACAGAGTTGTCCTGGCCCTTTTGGCTCAGCAGTTAGTGTCGGCCTGCAGTTCAGAGAGACATGGGTTTGGTTCCCACTAGGGGCATGTATCTCGGTTGCAGTTTGTTCCGGGCCCAGGTTGGGTCGTGTGGGTGGTAGCCACTTGATGTGTCCCTTTCACATTGATGTCTCTCTCTTCCTCTCTCTCTCACTCGATCTGAACAAAAAATGAAAAAATGCCCTTCAGTGAGGATTAAAAAAAAAAAAAAAAGTTGCTGAATGAATAAGAAAGGATGACTCACATATGTTGTTTACAAGATACCCATCTCACAACAAAAGACTCACATAGGTTGAAGGTGAAGGGATGGGAAAAAAAATTTTCCAAGTAAGTCAAAAGGGAAAAAAATCTGGGTTAGCAGTACTCATATCTGATAAACTTCAAAATGAAGGCAATAACTGGAGACAATTACTACATAATTTTGAAAAGATCTATCCAACAAGAGAATATAACCTGGGTAAACATATGCACCCAATATAGGAGCATCAAAATATATTTTAAAACTTCTGGAGGATTTCAAAGGACAAATCAT